TAATGGATTAAATCCCAATCATGGAATTATTTCCTACATTACCTTTCCCAGAATCCCCCAGTCAGCATAGTCAGCATGTTGCCAGTAAGTTTCATATTGGAGTAAGCTGGAAATGAGATAAAATAATTCTTATAATCCAAATAGGATGGGGTATCCAAATATTTCTTTGTGGTATTAAGTATCTGCTTGTCTCTCTGATCACTAAGAGCCATTTTTCATTGCATATTTAAGGTACTATGATTTCACATTCACTTTCATGGTTGGATTCTGTGAAATCCTGGGATTTAAAGTTTGGTGAGACATTAGAGCTCTCTGGTGGAAAATTCTAAACAACTCTCTCTATCCAGCAGAATCTGCAAATTGTTGAATTCTGTTGGATGCCATCACTATAATTAAAGTGGAATCACCATTCTTTAAAGTACTACTCCCATATTCAAGTTGGATAAGTCCCTGGACTTCGTGCCAATATAGTGAAGCCACAGACCATACGAAACCTATTGAAGTGAAAGGTTTCTGGCCCAAGAATACTATAGAGCCATGCTGGGGAACCTGGAAAATGCCTAAAGAGGACATATTTTGTCAGACATGGATAAACAGAATCACTGATACCATCCCATAGATATGAAGGCTGTAGTGTATAAAGTGTGAAGGAACTCTACAACTTTCAGGTGCTACCTTTTATTCAAAGGAATGAAACCGGGAGAATTGTTCCAGGACAGTGTTCTTGCGAAAGATGTCGAACAAGTGTTAAAAACCTGGGCAGATTGTAAAACAACTGTTTTTGAAGGGAAATAATACAGCATTGAGAACAATACAGCTGGAAGTTACTGCTAGAATATATTGCACTGAAGCAATTAAAATTGTGGTGAAAGTTATCTGGTGGTTTTAGTCTGTCAACACATATTGCTCTCTCTCATTCTGGTTTATTGAGGTGTGAATGGCCTTTGGAGGGAAAAGAGAGTTCTGCAATTGAACCACTCTGAAGCCCCTTCTACACTGCCATATAATCCAGATTATCAAAGCAGATAATCCACATTATCTACTTTGAACTGGATTCTGAATCTACACTGCCATATAATCCAGTTCAAAGCAGTTAATCTGGGTTTTATATGGCAGTGTAGAAGGGACAAGAGGCACACTGTCTGAACCATTTTTCCATCTGATGTCTGGTCTATTGTACACTGCAGAGAATTTTCTCTTAACCTTGAGGAGTAGTTGAAGGTGTCTAATTTTGTCCAACTAGGGATAGTTACATCTAGTTTGGCTTGAGCTGGTATATCAGAAGTATAGCAAACAGGCTGATCTTTATGCAACAGAATAAACACAAACCTATCAGAAATGGCAATATTGAAAAATTTTAACTTTATTTGTTGTGTCAGAAGCGAGTTGAGGGTACAGTTAAAATGCATTTAAAAACACAAACAAAATTAAAAAGCCTGTAACAGTGGGCTCTCTTAAAGGTGGACACTTTAGAGGTCAGAAATGCCCAAGGTAGAATAGAGGGAGAGGCTGCTGAGTTACAATCCACTATAGAATTCTAATTTATAACCAGAGGGAGGAATAAAAATAAAGACGGGTCTGTTAATCACAGTCCATGTGTTAAGTAGCTCCCCTAATGCCAGGGAATTTATATTATTACAAAAAAATCAAATTGTGAATCGCTTAACATAATACATAACTTTCAACTATACCAGTTTGGAATAGGGAGTCTCAATGAATTTTCTGCTCTCACTTTTTTTAGCTGTTTTTAAAATGTCCCAGTTTTTCTGTTCTTCTCTGGACCCTTCCACACAGCCATATAACCCAGAATATCAAGGCGGATAATCCACAATATCTGCTTTGATCGGGGTTATCTGAGTCCACACTGCCATATAACCCAATTCAAAGCAGATAATGTGGGATTTTATACAGCTGTGTGGCAGGGGCCTCACACTTTCCTCATTTGTCCAATTAGTGCAAAATGGGTTCAAAGTACTTACTTAACTTAATAAGAGGGAGAGGAGGGGGAGAATTGTTGCCCTTCCCAGTAGGTTCAGGCAAAAGCAAAGTGCTGCAGACTTTCCTGGCTTTCTTTTTCTTAATTAATAACCTTCTAATTTACTTTGATGTTGTTTTGCCGCATGTCTTCCAGGTTTTATCAGTGAAATGCTGCAGCACATGATAATTTTTCACTATTAATGCTTTTGTATCTTTATCTGCAGAAACACTGCTACAGCCCCACCCAGCTACTCCGATACACTCAAAAGCTACTCCAGACAAAGGGGAATCTTTTGAGCATATTTTCAAGAAGGACAGAAGGCTGGGGCAAAGATAGGAATGAGAAATATTCAGGCATGCCGGTGGTTGAGCATCATTAGCACTTTGTTATGCTTTCATTGTTTCTCTTTTCTCCAGTGCACCAATGGTCAAACTAGATGTTAAGAGAATGAACATTATCTGCTGTAACTATAAACACTTTTTAAGATATATTTTTTCCTACACCAGGAAAGTATGGACCCCAGCTATCGGATATAGAATTACAGCTTTCTGCGTAATGCAACTAAACTGCTTTGGTCTCAACAATGTATAAATTATGAGTTGTAGCAGGGGCACATATCTTTACTATTTGGGCAACAAAAAGAAGGGTGCAGTTTTGCTGTGTCTTTACAGAAAAATCAAGGAACCTGTCAGGTTTTATCCATGTCTGTGTCATACTCTCAACCGTGTTTAAGTAGTAGCCCAAAGATCATCTTAAAACCATTTTAATAGCTCCGGCTATGATAACACATATCTGTTAAACATTACTTTGCTTATAGTGACATCTATTGGTTGGAAAATAATAAAATCAAAATATGTGTTTTTCTAACTCTGTGCACGTCCTACTTTTTCCACTTCAAGAACCTTTTAAATATCTACCTGCTGTTAATTAACAAAGATCAAATAATAAAGCATTTGGACTATTCATCATTCACAAGTGACTGAAGTCTACATTGTTTTCAACTAACCAATATGATACCGGGTATTGTATTCACGCTATCACTTGTAACGTAGAACCCTTTTACACTAACCATATATTGCAGTTCAAAATTAACATAAATGCACACTCCTAATGCATGTTGGAGCACAGATTAATGGGAAACAGCACATTTTACCAAGCCACAAAATCTAATGTAAACCATATTCTGTGTCAGTTGATCCAAGTACAATATCCCAAATCCAGGATTAAATCAGCTCTGCAAAATGTGGAGCATTTTGTAGACACCTGTTCCAGCTGAAGTGCAATAAAGGATTCCCAAAGGGGTTTGCCAAAAAACACTCCAAGGGCATGACTGGGCAGCAGGAGGATAATTGAGCCCCTTGGAGCAGTCATTGATTATCTCTTCTTATGTTATTTTCCTTTTTTCACCTAGTATGCTTTGAGTGAGCTGATGTGCATTTCTCCAGGAAATGGGCAAAACCTGCAAAGCAGTTTGAGGCTAGGTTTGATTTTCAACGTAATCGCTTCTTTGGAATCATATCACTTCCAGACCTGTCAACCTGATCACCGATTTCGCCCAAACTGGTTTCCAGCTGCATTATGTCAGTGTAGAAGCACTGTAGTGTAGTGAGTAAATAGATAACTGACAGTTGTGTGATAGTTAAACTTTTTTTTTGTCGTGTCAGGAGCATCCTGTTGTGAGAGAATTGGCTGTCTGCAAGGAAGTTGCCCAGGGGAAGCCCGGATGATTTTGATGTTTTATCATCCTTGTGGGAGGCTTCTCTCATGTCCCTGCATGAGGAGCTGGAGCTGATAGAGGGAGCTCATCCGCCTCTCCCCGGATTCAAACCTGCGACCTGTTGGTCTTCAGTCCTGCCGGCACAGGGCTTTAACCCACTGCGCCACCGGGGGCTCCATAGTTAAACTGAAGTTCATGGCATCTGTTCTTAGAATTGCCAGGTTAAAAGCTCCTGAACCATTTCTAATGTATTGTAGGCTTGTCACGACTAATTGGTTTGTTCAAAATGGATTCATCCGAAGCAATTGTTTACTAGCAAATAAGTAAAGAAAACAGTTCTATTTGAGCTCAAACAATGTAGTAATCAAATGGAAATATTTCTTGATATCAAAGTCAAAATATAATGCAACAAGCATCACAAGAACTTGTGGAAAAATCATCTCCATTTTGTTTGAACTTTATTGCATGAGGTAGGCGAACCAGCATTGCATCCTGTGGCAAGTCTTCCTTCTCTTCCCAAAACCCATCAATAGTTTGCGCTCCTGGAATGCTGTCATCACCTACCTTGGTGTAATAGATACATTCTACTTCTGTGTTGACATGCCAATAGTAACATCAGAGGATGGGATTCCTCTCCTCTCTCTCTTCCTTCATGTTATTCCCGAGCTGTCTGTGTTTTGGCTAATTTATTTAAATCTATTTGCATGGGGATTTTTTTTGTTAACCATTGCTGAAAGTCCACAATTGCTGTAATATGTGTGTGTGTGTGATTACAGAGCAGCAGTGTTGTGGGAAGCCAGAGTTAAAAGGATGTGCAGGTCAATCACAGGACCACAGGTTGGCGAATTGGCACAACTGTGTGATTATAGAGAGGTGTGATAACAAAGTTGCTCACCCCGGTATGTATGTTTTCTTTGATTAATCAACTGCCGTGGAACAGCAGCTTTGTCCTATAGAATCCTTTGAATACACTAAACTTTATTTATAGCGTATCATGTTAACACATGACTATAATAAAAATCAAAGATTCATGTGCCTGAGTTTTCAAGTGATGTCTTAAGTCAGTCAGGAAGTTCAGAGGAAGTAAGCTTCTAGTTAATATGTGCACGTTTGAAAAATAAATTACATAACAGCAATAATGATTTAAAGAATGAGTTTGGCCCTCATTAGCTTCAATGGGATTTGTATCATAGAGTCACAATGTTAGTTTCTAATAAATTCCATTTACTGCACAAAAAAGGAAAATTTCCAAACTAAGAAACCCGTCTGATTCAAAGAAACAACTAAAACACAGTCTGAAAGATATAGATTATTATTTGTTTTTATTTTGATATAATTCCTAAATAAGAAACCAGAGGCAAAATATCAGTTTATTGCTTATACATTATAAATGTTGGTGTCTATTCTCCCTACTCCATTGCCACTGAATGCGAAAAGATATAATGTCAATAACCTCACCCACACTGCTTCCTGCTCTGATGCAAGTATCTTCTTATAGAATCCTTTACAGATGCTTTAGGTAGAATTCTAGATTAGAAATGAAAATGTGTCACATCCAAACCATCATTACCATCATTCCTGCACACATTCTTCATAATACTCTGTAGCTTTAGGCTGATTTTTCCCAATTCCTTGCTACAGTTAGGGTGTGTGGATATGATGAACCCATGTCTCCTCTAATAAGAACAAGAGGAAAAGATTCGCAAGTCATTATATTTCCATTACAAATCTCTTGCAACTCTCTCGCAACTCCACTTTACTACTCAGAGTAGGGAAAAAACTAATCTGACTGTCATGCCACATTTTCAGATACACATTGCAAAGATTACCTGGATTCACAGCATCCACACAATACCTGATCATGTGTAACAAGGACTTCGATTTTTTTCATGAGCTCTTGTTTCAACCCAAGGAACTAAGGCTGGATCTACACTGCCATAAAATCCAGTTCAATGCAGTTAATTGGCATTCTGAAACTGGATTATATAGCAGTGTAGATCCAGCCTAAAACATCTCTACTGGTAAAGTGCAGTTAGGGACTCTCAAAACCACTGTTCCTTCAATATTTTTTTATTTTTTCAACATATCTAGATTTGATTTTATTGAGTCCAAGAAGTAAAAGGCACAACTGAATAGGAATTCTGGAAAAAGGCATACTGTGAGGAATATATACATTCTTAATAATTACACTATCTAAATCACACTTAAATCACGCTGACTACTAAATATGGTCTCTTGTCAAGAAGGTTTGGAAAACAACCATTTAACTGAATGGTTTAATTTCCTTCAAAGAATACCCAGAGATTTCATGTTTCTGAGAGTGCAAAGGATTTATGGAAGATAGGCTGATGAAAAGTATAATTTTCCAGGAATCAGCTACAGTCCCAACAAGATCTTGGAATGGTCATTTTTTGGCATTGTCATGATGTTTGAGGATTATGGGAATTGTAATCCAAAATGACCATCCTGAGTTCTGTCCCTAGATGAGCTGAAAGGGATCCAAACAGATAACAAAGCCCTATCCCATACTTAAAGATATTTCCGACGGATACTGATCCAATTCAGATATAATAGCGCCATTACATCAAATATGCTGCTAGGCTTTCTGTAGGGTGTGAAATCTAACTCAGCTAAACGCAATATTGCTTCAATGGTTCCAACTCAGAACACATCTATTTTTTTTTACTGTAAGTGACTCTTTCTTAATCCAAAACAATATAATGCATCTTACCTCAAATTAATTCTCACCAGTTCTATTCTTTGTCTTAAGTAATGACTTCCTATCCACTATAATTAAATTGAAGAGTAACTGAAACAGCTGAGCAAAATATATTAACTTGCCTAATAAAAATAGGATCACAGTCTAGACAATCTTAAGAATTTCATGCCCTATCCGATTCAATGAGAGATATAAACATCTCATAAAATCTCTTTTTAAATTCCTTGAAAGGACTTTAAATGCTTAAGATTGACTTAATTGTGTCCTGATTAAAATGTATCATTTTTTCTTCTTTTAGAAATAAGATAATGTGAGATTTGCTTCCTGAATAATCTCAGCTATTGCTATGAATGTTCTTGTCCTTCCCTTTAATTTCTTCTCACTTCACGGCCCCTTAATGGCTGTGGTGGCCTGAAATTTTTCAGCAGGCAACAGGCAGCCTCTCCCTCTCCAGTGTAGAGAAGGTTGCGAAATTTCGAGAGCTGTGAATGAAAAGGGTATAAAATTCAATACAGGAATACAGAAACATTGTGGACTCAGCAAGGTTATGGAGCGTGTAGTCCTCCTAGCATAACTGAAATACAACACTTATGATCAAGGGATACATAGCTGCTGGAGGCTGATGGGCCACACTGACCACCCATGGGACCACAAAGTGGTGTATGGTTGGTCCTCCACATTTACAGGTTTAACCTTTGCAGATTTAATTATTCATGGATTGAATATATTCTTTTAAGGAATCTCTAGACCCCCCCCCCCCCCCGAGTGACTGTATGGCCTACTTCTGCCAGAAACTGACCACAGAGTTGAGCTGAAGGACTTAGATTTTTCTAGAGAAAACTTCTCTAGGGCTCTTTAGGTCCCCCAGAGTAATTCCATGGTCAATTTCCTGCTGCCCTTGTATTCACAGTTTTACCATTTTTGTAGGGTTCCTGAACACTTAACTCTTTCAAAAGTTGAGCCTACTATCCTTTCCTTGCATTTTTAAAATCACTAAAAAAAACCAAAACCTTCCTATGGCCCTTTAGAGGCCCACATGAGATGGGATCACAACTTGGCTGTGTAGGTGAAGCAACCACATAATGCAGATCCATTCAACGGAGAAGTAAAATTGCCAGCACTACTGCCATTTTCTGACTGGGACATTAGAAAAGCTAGAAGTAGAGACAGGGGATCAGTGCTTCTTTTAAGTTCTCCTGGAACTGAACGTGCTTCTGCCTTTGCCACTCTGCTCAAATAATTGAATGGTTTCTATTTAATAAAAGTTAAGGTACAGTATTTATAATGATATAAAATGTTTGGGTTTAGTAAAAAAAATACTAAAAATTCTAGACTTGAGTATATGAGGTCTAATATAGGCGCTACATGTATTCTTATGCCACCCTTTAGTCAGATTCCAAGGGTAAATTTTACTTTCTTCCATATATGTGAATGGCAGCTTACTATTCTTAGTGAGAAAATCAAATAATAATAATAATAATAATAATAATAATAATAATAATAATGGCAAGGACTCTGGCACAAACCAGTAAAGGTGGTCCCAGTGGTATTCGGCACACTGGGTGGAGTCCCTAAAGACCTTGCCCTGCACAATCGGCATTGACAAGATTACCATCTGCCAGCTGCAAAAGGCCACCTTACTGGGATCTGCACGCATTATTCGTCGATACTTCACACAGTCCTAGACACTTGGGAAGTGTCTGACGTGTGATCCAATACAACAGCCAGCAGAGTGTCTGCTGTGGACTCATCTTGTTTAGATAATAATAATAATAATAATAATAATAATAATAATAATAATAATGGTAAATCATACCTGTTCAGAACAAACATTGATAGGCTCTTTGAGAATAATCCAGATGACACTTTCAAGAAGAGGAGGAGTTGTGAGAGATCCCAGGTATGTCCAGTAGTCCAGAGAACGGGGAAGCAGACACGAAGGATCAAAGTTGGTGAACCTGTGCTGTTTGCCCTTTAAAAAGAGAAAGAGGGGGAAAGAAGAGAACCTTAAGGGAGGAAAGACAATCATATCGCTACAGGTATACTTTGAAGTTAGATTTCTAAATGAGGAGCACTGACTACTTCTAGCTGCTGAATAAGCAAGTAGAACTCATAGTGATTATAATGTGAAGCAGAGTATAAAAGGGGAAATGTAATAATGGTGGCCCTTCATATCCACAGATTCTGAATGCATGGATTTAACCATCCACGGTCTGGAAATATTTAAAAAAACAAATATTAAAAAGCAAACCTTGATTTTGACATTTTATATGAGGCTCCATTTTACTACGCCACTTTCTATAATGGAACTTGAGCATCCATGGATTTTGGTATCCAAATTTCAGTAAAATACTAAGAGCCCACTGTATAAAAATTTAGCATTGCCCACAGAAGCACACAAAGAACAAGAATCCGTAATAGACAATGGAACTGCCCCATGCTCTTAGTTAAATATGTCCTGGTTTTTAAGGTTTAGAAATACTATACCTTGGCTTTAATTGCATCTAAAAAGTCTGTTATTTTCTGCAGCTGTGGATTGCATTCACCGAGCTGAAAATATAAATGTTACATTTGTTTTGCAAAGAGTTCAAAATTTATTTATTTTTGCAATACAATAATTACTTCAAATCCAAATATTTCAGAAGTACAAAAGGGTTGAAAATCATAAAAAGAAAGCATATAACTTTCACCCTGAAACTAGACAGATGAAAATATTATTATTTAATAATCATCATCTCAGGTGAATCATGTATTTATTTAATACATTTCTAAATCACTTCCCGGTCCACACTGGCCTCTAAGGTGAAAAATAAATCTTAATTGCTCATCCCAGTTAATTAGTGTTATTGAATCTATGGAAATTATATTTTATGGGGAACTGCTCTCCTTTCTCCTCCTTATAATACCATTGCTTGAAGGTCTTGGTGAGTAGTCTCTGCTCCCCAACTGTAACTCCATTCATGACAAATTCTACTTTGTCTTTCAGGAACCACAAATGTATTAAAGTATTCCAGAGTGATTTTTCCCCATTAATATATTTTGGCTCACAAACATAATTTGGCCCATATATTTGCAACTCCGCTTTCCATTTTTTGGAGAAAAAGAGGCTTACCCTACCTTTAAGAAAACAGCCATGACTGCTAATCCATCTGCCTCAAAAGCAGCCTCAACAAATGAGGCATATTTGTCTGCATTCCAATGGACCACATGAAGCTGGAAAGGAAGAACACAACTGCTATTAATTATTACCCTATGGAGTTCAGACAACCCTTATTAAAGAGGTAGTTTGGTGTATTACATAGCCCAAAGCCATCTTGAGGTCAATGAAGTCCTTTGGAAGCTCCACGCACGTTGGTCCAAGGCTCTGAAGATCCATTCTAGTTAGTCCTAGCATTGGCCATGTTTACCAAAACAATCAAACAGTCCCTGGCACATTCACATGCCAGTCCTTCCCATATCAGGTCAGGAGCCCACCCATATCTTCCCCTGTATAATCCTTAGATCGAGCGTTTAAATGTTCTTGAAGTGAAAGGTACCATGATATATGAGTTGAGACTGCTCAGTTCATTAAATCATTCTGTATTCTGGAGAATGTTAAGGTATGTCAACATTTGCATGTTTAGTTTTCATTAAAAAGCAGGACTGTGTCACTTTTAAGATATTATGAAGTTTACCAAAAAGAAACAAATGTTCTTGGAAAACAATAAACACCAATAACATCTCAAACATTGTGGGGATGCCCATTCCCAATGGCTTGTGACTTCTCTGTAAAAGGATGTATGTATCTTGTCTTACCACCGCTCCTGCACCACAGGTTGTTGGAGAAGTCTTTTAAGGCCTGTTTCTTTTATGCGTCATCCTCTTCATCATCATCATCATCTTTGTCATCAATACTCCCATATCACAATTTGTTGGAGAAGCCTGGTTCCAGTGGATGAACTGCCCCAACATAATGGGATCTTGGCTCATAAAGAACATCTGCTGGAGGAACCGCGTTGTCTTGGACTTGCAGATTAGCTCTGTCTTCTTGCATGTGCCAATTTGGCAGAGGTGCATTCTTGACCCGAAGAGTTTTCTTCTTTATCAAATTACACTGAAAACTACCATCTAATCACCAAACCTTCAGTGGTCCCTCCATCTATATTGGTTCTCTTTCTTTCTCTCCCTCTTTCTTTCAACTCCAGAATCATTTTCTAATTAACAAAGGTTTCTAGAGGATTCTTGATGATGCTTATAAGCAGTAGTGCAAAACATTGTTAGACTGACTACAAATTCCTAGGTAGAGTCTCCATCCATTTGGTTTCCAGCTATATATGTTTTGGAACATTTTGTTTTCTAAGCACCTCTTAATAATTCGTTATATTCCATCTCACCTGGTTCCTGCAGAAAACATAAGTCTTTAAACACTGCAAATGTCACCTCCAATGATTTTCCCCACTAATTTTAACCTATCAACATTTCCCAGCCACCACATGAAATGCAGTACTTCCATTTCAGAAAAAAATCTAGTTTCAGAATACAACTCCATTTTAAAAATAAGAACGCTGCAATATTTCCCCTCTTTACGTTAGTTAACAGGAAGTCATTTACACTTTCTAAGAGTTGAAAGAAGGAGGCAATATTTTGACATTTTTATTTATGTATAATTTCAGCATGTGAACAATGATTCTTAGAGAATATTTTTAAAAATATCTTGCCTCAGTCTAACAAATTCTTAAATCTTCCTGGTTTCGTTGGGTTTCAATGTCCGTTAGTCTTGGCCAGCATGGCTAAAGATTAGCATGGTAGGAGTGTGAATCCAACAAAATTGTAATTATCATACTTTCCTGACCACTGCCTTACAGCATCATCTAGTGCAGAGCTTCCCAAACTGTGTGCCATGATACATTGGTGTGCTGGCCACAGTGTGTAGATGTGTTGAACAAATGTAATGAAAAACCTCAGAGTCTATGTGAAATAAGCAATACTACTGAAGTGCAGAAGCTTAAAAATGCTTGATGATGAAATGTGGGTGTCTTTATCCAACATTTCATCAAATATTCCAAAAATGTGTTCACCCCATCAATCTCATACATCTCAGTAAAATGTTAAGTAGTTATTAGTGTTACACATGTTAAATTGTTGCAGGCTCTATGATCTGCCGGGGAAGCCCTCCTCTTGGTCCCACCACAATCCCAAGTACAGTTGGCGAGGACGAGAGAGAGGGCCTTCATGGTTGTGGCTCCCCTGCTTTGGAATGTCCTCTCTAGAGAGATTAGATTAGCCTCCACTCTCCAAACATTTTGAGGCACTCTGGAGTGCTTTTGTGAGCCACCCCAAGTCCCTTCAGTAAGATAGTATATACATAAAGATTATTATTATTATTATTATTATTATTATTATTATAAATTGTTACTAATAAATGACAAAAATCTTAGAAATGTATACTATTATCTTACAAATCATATAAATTTAAAAATATGAATTAAAAGTTTTCATATGCAATATTGTGCACTCATACATTTTGTTATTACAATTCATGTATGTGTCGGTATTACTTGTAAGGGGTTAGTTTAACCTCCGGTTTGGTAGTAAAACTGAATTACTATGTTGTGAAATCATGAATATTTTAAGGGTATCACCAACATGAAATTTTTGGAAAGCTCTGACCTAGTGAGATTTACCACTAGAGCAGTATGCTGATAATTGCTGTGTAAAACAAAACAGAAAATGTCTAAGCCAAGATGGATTTAAGTTTAAAACAACCAGATTAAAATAGCCAGACTCAATCATTGAATCTGGATATTCAAGCTCATCACAGTACATTAAATGCTTTTTATGTGAACTTGTGCAAATAAATTCTGTTTTGCTGCATGATCGCAAACCACCAAATTGATCTTACTGGCACTTCTTTTCTTATTTGCATAGCACAAAACAATGAAATTGACAGCGGCAAAAAATAATGATTTTATTATGGAAATTAGTCATTTAAGAAAAAAAGCAGGGATGCGAAGAGGGATGCAACTAGATAAAGTCACAACTATTTCTATACAGTTCAGTGGAATGCTTTACCTCTGCTGCGAATTTTGTTCCATCCACTGCATGCTCAGAGCCAATGTCATCGCTAGATCCCCAATGGAAGTGAATTTGGCGCAGTCTATAATTTCCCATGAGTGGACCACCACACAGCACTATAAAGAGAAAACACATACACAGACCTCTATATATACTAAATATACAAACTAGATATAGATATAGATATATACAAACTATATATAGTTTGGCTGCTTAGAACTTTGGGAAAATGAAATGTTTCCTTGTGTATCTTTCTACTGCCTGAGGACCAGTGATGTCTAGGACATAACTGAGTGATTACAGACAAAAAGGGGAAAAGAAATTTGAACTCTTCCCACGAAATCAAACCTACTTTGAGAAACAAAGACTCCAACTATGCTGGATAGAAAGAGAAAGCTGTGTTTGACAAATGAAGTCTTGTCTCTTTTTTAAAAAAAGGAAATTGTTCAGCTACCGGTAAGTGGATGAGACGGAATCATGTTCAAGGAGGATGCATGCCACACATTTGAACTGAAGCATATTTATATAATAGCAAGAGAGAATTTTTAACAAGCAATGTCTTCTGAAAGGGCAAATTATCAAAGGCAATGTAAATGAATCTTCCCTAGAGATTAGTAGCATTACAATTCATAGAATGCAGTGCCAGCCCAGGTTAAAATTGGAAAACGTTGTTAATAGAAGATTGCACACTAAAATATTTAAATTTGCTATGTAACAAACCTGATTTGTTTTCAGTGTCATCAAACTCCACACTGGTGGAATGTCCATTGTTAAGGATGACTCTGGCAGATGAAGGATCATAGCGAGGGTAGAGAGGACGCAGGGAGGGGTCGTACTTGGCCTCTTGAGTTTTGATGTCAATGGGAGATTGACGGTCTCCATTAGCAAGGGGAAAAACTTCCTTCCAATGAGAGGGTCCTAGGAAGCATTGCAGTAGAAAAAATGTTTATTAAAATACATTCAATGCAATCAGAAAAATAAAGGAATTGTCGTATGTGAATATAATCTCAAGAACCTACCTGGATTTTCTTATTTTCTTAAAAAATATTATTCAATTTATTTTTAAAAAGGAGGGCAATTAAAAAAGTGAAAAGTACCCAACCCCGTTGTCTTTAGTGAGCTGAAAGGCAGCTCTCTACATAAATAAGTCTTAATTCTAATGAATTAAATACCCAAGGATGCGGGTTAGAACATTAAGGTTGGTCATTTTCTGCCTACTTCCAGGCATTCTGGTCATAAGGAATGCAGCAGGCACCTGAAATTAACACACACATGCAAAAGATTCAGAGAACATCCACCCATCAGCTGATTATTGTGTAGCCTGCACAACAACAACACTTTGTTCAGATTGATAGGCATTTATAACTCAGGGGTTTACTTTATGTCATGCGAAATAAGACAACTGGTCTCTAAAGTTCAGTATTGTCAAAACTGTCAGGTAGGAATGTTTCCTAGCATTAATTGGAGATTTAAGGAGCTGAGCCTAGGACCTTCTGCATTAAAACCTGACCTTTGTAACAGAGTTTCGACCTGTTTCCACACTGAATTGAAAATAACATGCATCTAAACATGTCAAATCACATATTGAAATTATTTTTGACTGGGAAAAACATCAACAGGAAAAGCAGTTGAGTATCTCTAATCTGAAATGCTTGAGATCATACATATTTTGGAATGTTTGCATATACCTGAAGAAACAACTTGGAGATGGGACCCAAGTCTAAGCACAAAATTCATTTATGTTTCATAAACACCTTGTAATTTCACGCGACATTCAAATACTTTTGTTTGTGAAACAAAGTTTGCGCACATTGAACTATCAACCCCCCCCCCCCAAAAAAAAAAAAAAAAAAAACCAAAGGTGTCACTATCTCAGACACCCATGTGAACAATTACAGATTTTGGGAAATTTACATAACACATTACATTTATTCAGCATCCTTCATATAAGTTATCAGAGTATTTATTTATCGTATCAGAAGCTAATTGAGGAGTTATCAGAGTAATCCTTATGCAAGCTTATCAATAACAATATCTTGATCTACTTCGTGTCTGTAATTCTTGAGAGAAGGCACCACTGTCACATTGCCTAACGTTATCTAGGAAGCTTACGCCACTCTACGTCAAACGTGTGTCTGTTGCACCAAGATTATCTTTCCAACTGCATTCCACACCAGTCAAATTAGTCTTGAAATCCACCAGTTATACCAGCGTTATACAATTTATACTCTTCTACTGGAAGGTTGTCCTGTTTATAAATCACTTTAGTATGTAAAGTGTTTACATAATAATGCTCGCTCTCCGCTGTGAAGTTTAACCAGCATTTCCCATATACTACATGAGTCTACACAGGTTCGTCTAAATTGGTTTATACTCAGTGGAATCAAGGAAAGATCTAGACAGCAATTGCATACTTATTATGTTCAGAAAATTCCGCAGGATGCAGTCAACATCTTACATTTAAAGATGGTAACTACAATGTAAAATGCACTAATACAGACAGCACTCCATATCTACAGCTTGAAAATATTTTTTTTTAAATCCAAAAAAACAAAACTTGATTTTACCATTTTATATAAGGCAACAATTTTACTATACCATTGTATATAGTATGACATGAGCAACATTCAAAGGTTTTGTTATCTGCATGGGGTCCTGGAACCAAAATCCCCCAGAAACCAAGGTTCTAGTAACTATACATTTTTTTAAGTAGGGAAAAGGGTTTTTCGAAGCCCTATAGGCAGCATCTGAACTCAATGGAAGCCACCCATACATGGATGGACATATACATGCACAGGTGCATATGCATTTGCAAACAAGTTCCGCCTAGTCAAAGCCATGGTATTCCCTGTAGTCACCTACGGATGTGAGAGCTGGACCTTAGGGAAGGCTGAGCGAAGGAAGATCGATGCTTTTGAACTGTGGTGTTGGAGGAAAGTGCTGAGAGTGCCTTGGACTGCGAGAAGATCCAACCAGTCCATCCTCCAGGAAATAAAGCCCGACTGCTCACTGGAGGGAAAGATACTAGAGACAAAGTTGAAGTACTTTGGCCACATCATGAGGAGACAGGAAAGCCTAGAGAAGACAATTATGCTGGGGAAAGTGGAAGGCAAAAGGAAGAGGGGCCGACCAAGGGCAAGATGGATGGATGGCATCCTTGAAGTGACTGGACTGACTTTGAGGGAGCTGGGGGTGGTAACGGCCGACAGGGAGCTCTGGCGTGGGCTGGTCCATGAGGTCACGAAGAGTCGGAGACGACTGAACGAATGAACAACAAATGCAGAAACACACACATCCACATCTTGCTGAACTTCCATCCTTCCGATCTATTTAGATTGCTGTTTATCAACTGCCCCCACAGGTAAACAACAATCTTCTAAAGTGAGGAGCCAGTATTATTCTAAGATTAAAATTTTCAGCATTAATCTGGGGCTATGCAACTGAGGTATTAATCGCATACAGAGGTTCATAAAAGCAGAAGCCCTAGAAAGAACTGGCAAAACTACATCAGAGTATTCCTTACCTAAGGAAACATTATGAAACCATAAGGTTGCCATAAGTCAAGAGGCGACTTTGAGGCATATATAGAGACACAACTTATTAAGCTTCCATATATTATTAAAAGGGCATACAACTAATGTGTTTGGGGTTCCTTCAACATATTGCCGAATACCATGTTTCAAAATTTTATCTCTGATGCACAGCTTACTAAGCCAACGTCATTGACCCTGCTGTTGAATCACGATTAGACAACAGCAACGTGGCCTACAGCAGGCATGGGCAAACTTTGGCTCTGCAGGTGTTTTGGACTTCAACTCTCACAAATCCTAACAGCTGGTAAGAATTGTGGGAGTTGAAGTCCAAAACACCTGGAGGGCTGAAGTTTACCAATGCCTGGCCTGCAGTAATGTTGAACAATTCCATCTATTGAGCACTTATATCTTACACACTCAAGACTATGGGATGATGGTTTTATTTTATATGTATATAAATATAAGTTGTTAATATTGTTTACAAGGAGTGTTTGCATTTGGGTGAAAATATATAAAAAATATTGTTCACACTTACTATATAGATTGGTCCTTCATAGCCCATCATCATTCTCGGATACTTAGCACCATGATTTAAACAATTAAGGCTTGATCCAAAGAATATCATCACAGACCTTTTGTTGTCGAAGGCTTTCATGGCTGGAATCACTGGGTTGCTGTGAGTTTTCCAGGCTGTATGCCCATGTTCCAGAAGCATTCAGGCCTTGAATGGTCTGGGGCCGATGTACCTGAGGGACCGCCTCACCCCCTACCAACCCCAGAGATCCCTCCGTTCTGAGGACCAAGATCTATTGGAAATTCCCAGTGTCAAGACCTTGCATCTAACAGCAACCAGACGCAGAGCCTTTACAGCAGTGGCACCATTACTCTGGAATACTCTGCCACCTGAAGTCCGTGCCTTGCGGGACTTATCAGCTTTCCGCAGGGCATGTAAGACATCCCTGTTTCGACAGGCCTTTGATTTTTAATATTGCTGTTTTTAAATTGTTTTAAATTGTTTTTAAATTGTGTTAGATTTTAGCCATTCTTGTAAGCCACTCCGAGCCCCAGGGGAGTGGCGGCATATAAGTTCGAATAATAATAAATAAATAAATAAATGATGTTTTGCTCATATCTATGGCAGACCTCACAACCTCTGAGGAAGCCTGCCATTGATGTGCGTGAAACATCAGCAACCCATCACAGCATACCTATACTGTGATTAGTAGTAATATGGAAAGGGCCATCAAGACTGCCCCAATGAACAGGTGAGGTACTACAAAGAATATATTTTATCCCATGTGAGTAATGATGCTTGCCTATGCCAGCTGCTGAAGGAAGTTATTTTGTTCTCAGGTCCTTTCTTGTATTCTCTCCCATTTCCCCCCAAGATGGATGGCAGGAACAAAATCCCAGAAAATACACAAAGCTGGCACTGAAATCACTGGAACCAAGTTCCGCTACTGTAATGGAACAAGCTCCAATGCATCGCTTGGGAAATTTACTTTTTTGGACTGTATCTCCCAGAATCTTGCAGATAGCATGGTTGCAGAGTTAACTTTCAATAGGAAGGTAAAACTACATTTTTATTTATTTATTTACCCTCTTTATCTACCCCAGAAGGGAATCAAGGGAGCTAACATATGGCAATTATTCAATGCCTTACAAACACATACAAAACATTAAGTATGAAATAAATTAAAATGTATACATATTAAGCATTTTAAAATGTATTAAAATCACACCAACCAGAAATCATAGTCCAAAGCTGTTCAGTCGTCATTGCACAAATTCCAAATCTGTTATTGCACTGTGCTATTCTCCAAAAGCCTGATCCCAGAGCCAGGTTTTTACTTCCTTCTGAAGGATAGGAGGGAGGGGGCTGATCTAATGTCACTGGGGAGGGAGTTTAATAGCTGAGGAGCCACCACTGAGGAGGCCCTGTCTCTCATCCCCACCAGTTGCGCTTGCAAGGAAGGTGGGACCGAGAGCAGGGTCTCTCCAGACAATCTTAATCTCCAAGGTGGTTCATGGGGTGAGATACGTTCAGATAGGTAAGCAGGGCTGGAACAATTCAGGGCTTTATAGGATAGAGCCAGCACTTTGGATTGTGCTTGGTAGGAGACTGGCCAACAGTGGAGCTGGTGCAAAAGTAGGCATGTCCTGTCTCTGTACACCGCTCCAGTCATCAACTTGGCTACTGCCTGTTGGACCAATTGAAGCTTCCAAACAGGCTTCACAGGCAACCCCACATACAGTGTGTTGCAGTAGTCTATATAGGATGCAACAAGAGTGTGGACCGCCGTGGCCAAGTCTGACTTCCCAAGGTATGGGCGCAACTGGTGCACAAGTTTTAATTGTGCAGAAGCTCCCCTGGCCATCACTGAAACCTGTGATTCCAGGCTCAGCTATGAGTCCAGAATCACTCCCAAGATGCGAACCTGCATCTTCAGCGGGGGTGTAACCTGAAAAAAAAAAGATGTAAACTTCACTGTCTAAGGCTTTTATGGCTGGAATCACTGGGTTGTTGTAGGTTTTTTGGTTTTGCCTGCTTCTATGGCAAGCATCCTCAGAGGTTGTGAGAACTTCAGGAGAGAATGCTTCTAGACCATGGCCATATATCCCAAAAAACTTACAACAACCCTGTAAACTGCACTGCCTTGAAATCAACAATAACTTCAAAGTTTAGATGGTAACCAAAAGGGTAATGGGGAAAACTCTGGTACTCAATAATAATTAAGAAAATAGATCATTAGTGCAAAGTTGCAATGAGGAAAACAGATTATATTTCAGAAATGACAAAATACTCCCCTCCAGGAGCTTCCGCTGAACAAAAAGCAGTCATTTTAATCTTGCCACATACAGAATTACCCCTTTTATCTCCTGGAAACAGAGCTGTAACACCATTGCTCAAAATCAGTCTGCTTCTATCATATTTTAAAATATATTTTGGCAAAATGGGTTTGCCCTGTGATTTACTATCCTTGGAAAAGGATCATCTAACCCATTTCTCAAGTAGTGTCAAAGTGTCAAACTTCTATAAATGCAGGCATGGGCAAACTTTGGCCCTCCAGGTGTTTTGGACTTCAACTCCCATAATTCCTAACAGCCGGTAGGCTCTTAGGAATTGTGAGAGTTGAAGTCCAAAACACCTGGAGGGCCAAAGTTTGCCCATGCCTGCATCTATAGAGTCAGAAACGAGTGGGACATGCAGACAAGTTGCAAATAAAGCATCCAAACGGGGAGCAAACCAAATTATAACCATGGGAACCCCCAATCCCCCCAAATGTCCAATAGCTCTATCTTTGCAGTCCCATCCCTCCCGGCTGAAGTGCAGAGAGACCCCCCAAAGTCTCTCTCTCTCTGCTCACCGTTGTCCTCCTCGTAGCCCCAGTGCAGCATGGCTGGAAAGAAGGAGAAGTTGGCTAACTTTGGTGATGAGGAAGGATGGAGGAGGAAGGGCGATGCTAGGAAGGATGGAGGAGGAGGAGGAAGGACCGTCTCTTTGGGCGACAGGAGATGCCAGCGGTCAGGCGTCCCGGGAAGAGGCAAAGAAAGCTTGGTGAGGCTGCCTTGGAGGCGCCTCTTATTTAAGCAGAGACCCTCCCTCCACACCCTCCCACCTGCGTCACTGGGAGGAGAAGGAGAGCCCTTCCCTTCAAGGGTGCATCTTCACTGCATCTTCACTCCCTTGGCTCAATGCTGTTTGGATCCTGGGAGTCCTAAATTTTGGTGGGGCACCAGCACTCTGTGGCAGAGCAAAGGCTAGAGTTCTTGTAAAACCATGACTCCCATTGGTCCTACAGCATTGAACCATGGCAGTTTTAAGTGGTGTCAAACTAAATTAATTTTGGACCCCTTGCTCCTCTTAGGAGCAAGGGATCCAGAATTAATGCAGTATTAACACCGCTTTAACTGCCAAGGCTCAAAGCCTGGGAGTTGTAGTTGGACAAGGTCCCCATCTACATTGCCATACAAAATCCAGATTACCTGCTTTGAACTGGATTATATGGTAGTGTAGACTCAGGCCCCTTCTACGCTTCCATATACAATCCTGATTATCTGCTTTGAACTGAATTATATGGTCGTGTAGACTCAGCCCCCTTCTACGGTTCCATATAAAATCCAGATTATCTGATTTGAACTGGATTATATGGTAGTGTAGACTCAGGCCCCTTCTACACTTCCATATAAAATTCTGATTATTTTCTTTAAAAAGTGGATTATACTGTAGTGTAACCCCAGGCCCCTTCTACGCTTTCATATAAAATCCAGAATATCTACTTTGAACTGGATTATATGGTAGTGTAGACTCAGACCCTTTTACGCTTCCATATAAAATTCTGATTATCTACTTTAAAACTGGATTATACTGTAGTGTAGCCTCAGGCCCCTTCTACGATTTCATATAAAATCCAGAATATCTACTTTGAATTGGATTATATGGTAGTGTAGTCTTGGGCCCCTTCTACACTTCCATATAGAATCTAGATTATCTACTTTGAATTATTGGATTATACGGTAGTGTAGACTCAGGTCCTTTCTATAATTCCATATAAAATCCAGATTATCTGCTTTGAACTGGATTATATGACAGTCTAGACTCATATAATCCAGTTCAAAGCTGATAGTATGGATTATTTCATTTGATAATCTGGATTTTATGGCAGGTTGAAGCAGACAATGTGGATTGTCTGGATTTTAATCCAGGTTGAAGCAGACAATGTGGATCATCTGCTTTAATAATCTGGATTATTTGGCAATGTAGATGGGGCCAAGGTCTTTAGCCTCCTTTGTCCAACTCCCAGGGTTTCATAGCACTGAGCTGTGGCAATTAAAGTGGAATCAAACCACATTAATTCTACTGTGTAGATGATGCATCTGAACGCTAATGATTTGACCTGTTCATAAAGTCTATTGATCCATGATTTCTAAGGCCCCTTCTACACTGCCATATAATCCAGTTCTAAGAAGATAATCTGGATTTTATATGGCAGTGTAGAAGAGGGCTAAATATTCATTTGAAATTAATTTCTAATGTGCCATGGTGATTTTCCAAGTTTAGGCAGAAATGATTGAACAGAATCATGAAAGGATCCTTACTGAAAAGACAAGACCATTTATCTATAGACTATCCTGACCTTCCTCAAAACAATGCAGCTCAGACAACCATATATCAGAGAGCAGGTGCCCAACCCTGTAGGAGAGATAGTCCAGAGAAAGTGCCATGTGTTGTGTTTGTGTGAAACGAATAGGCTTAAATGCCCATTGTTGCTTCTTATTGCTCTACAGTTCCAAGACAGTAAGAGAGATAGCATTGTTGAGAACACAGAAAAGGATGGGCACAAAATGGATATGTGAGAATTGCAAGATAATGAGGAAACTACTGGCCAGAGAGATAAGACATTCCCCACTCCTCCCAGCAGGTCATTCATACACTAGATATTGGGAACATACTCTAACTAGGACCACAATGGTAAACTGATTCTGAATCATCAGAATATGACAGGGTTGTGAATTAACAGGGGCTCCACTGACCTAATGTATGTGACCAAGGGTGTATCTACATTGTAGACTTAATGCAGTTTGAGGCCACTTTAACTGTCAGTACTATGGAATCCTGGGTCTTTAGCCTTAACCTTCACTGCCAAAGAGAAATGGTGCCTCACCAATCGACAAATCTCATGATTTGATAGCATTGAACCATGACAGTTAAAATGGTGTCAAAATGCATTCACATTCTTCAGGGTAGATGCACACTGAGGCAGTAAAGTTGTACACAATCACCTGGGAAATAAACACCATTAAACTTTATAGGACTTTCTTCTAAGGCCTCTTCTACACTGCCATATAAAATCCAGCTTCCAACTGGATTATATGGCAATATAGACTATTCAGTTTATATCAGATAATGTGGATTATTTGCTTTGATAATCTGTTATATTGCAATGTAAGGTGAGACGTACAGGTCAATGTTGCAAGGAAATGAATCATGAAAAAGCCAGTGCCAAATATCACCTGGACCAAAACTTTGGTAAGTGGTCTTGGGCCCCATCTACACAATATAAAATCCAGATTATCTGCACTGGATTATATGGCAGTGTAGACTCATATAATCCTGTTCAAAGCAGATAATTAAATTATTTGTTGGCATAAAGTGGAAACCCATCCCTCTCCAAACACCTACCCTTTTCTCCTGGTCATGCCCAGCACTTTTTAATTTTAATTATTACATTTGACCCTGCCATAGTTTTTAATTGCGTCATTGTGTGTTGTTAATGTTATTGCTTTGTTTTTTATTTATTTTGCTGTATTGTTGTTGTTGTTTTATTGTTGTATTTGCGCTCGGCCTCTTGTAAGCCGCACCGAGTCCTTCGGGAGATGGTAGCGGGGTATAAATAAATGTTTATTATTATTATTATTATTATTATTATTATTATTATTAAAAGCGCCAACTAAGTTACACCCTCCTTTCAATGTAAATACAAACAAATCCTCTTTCGAAGTTTATTCATTACTAGCTGTATTTATTTATTTACTACATTTATATGTTGCCCTTCTCATCCTAAAGGGGACTCAAAGCAGTTTACAAGATATAATTGTTTCAGATTTGAGCGCTATTTTCTTTGGACTTCATTCTGGTCTTGATGTAAATACAATTAAGACACAAGGAGTCAGTCAATAGGTGTTGCTATGGCCGGGCGGCTAGGTTGTTGAAGTACTCTCGCCACAAGGCGGTATGGCCATGGAGGCACACTGCCCCGGAGTTGTAAGGCAGCAGGGCTGAAGAGGTGTTCTATGGCCCTGCGCAGATGTTGCTATGGCCGGCAGTGGGCAGTTAGGCCGTTGAAGTAGTCATACCGCGAGGCTGTGTGGCCATGGAGGTGCCTTGCCCAGGAGTAGTAAGGCAGCAGGGCCGAAGAGGTGTTGCTATGGCCCTGCGCAGGTGTTGCTATGGCCAGCAGTGGGCAATTCGGCCATTTTTGCACATGCGCTGTAGCATCTTTTTGCTTTTCTGGCTTTTTAAGTCTCTTCCACCGTGTTTTTCAGTGTTTTATGAGTGATGATCACTCATTGGCCTGATAGGTGTATTGTGTACAAATTTGGTGTCATGTCGTCCAGTCGTTTTTGAGTTATGTTAATCCCACAAACGAACATTACATTTTTATTTATGTAGACAAGCCGTCTCCTGCCGGTTGTTGCTGTGGCCCAGTATGGTGATCTGGAAAATAAAGTAATGAGAAAGTGCTGGTTTCTAATCTATGTAATGTCTTTCTGCTTGTGGGTAAACAGTATTTTTTGCTGTTTCTTTGTCAGTGTTGATGTTGAACAAGCCCTATGAGGAGCGGCTTAAGGAGCTGGGCATGTTTAGCCTGAAGAAGAGAAGGCTGAGAGGAGATATGATAGCCATTTATAAATATGTGAGAGGAAGCCACAGGGAGGAGGGAGCAAGCTTGTTTTCTGCTTCCCTGGAGACTAGGACGCGGAACAATGGCTTCAAACTACAAGAGAGGAGATTCCATCTGAACATTAGGAAGAACTTCCTGACTGTGAGAACCGTTCAGCACTGGAACTCTCTGCCCCGGAGTGTGGTGGAGGCTCCTTCTTTGGAAGCTTTTAAACAGAGGCTGGATGGCCATCTGTCAGGGGTGATTTGAATGCAATATTCCTGCTTCTTGGCAAGGGGTTGGACTGGATGGCCCATGAGGTCTCTTCCAACTCTTTGATTCTATGATTCTATGATGTGGAGATTGTCTGGTTTGCCTACTCTGGAACAGGCAACATATAATTGCCCTTCTTTAGGGGTCCCTTTCAAATATATGATATTATATATATCTCTGTGTGAATTATATATATCTATCTATATCTATGGCTGGATGGTTCTTTGTCAGGAGAGCTTTGATTACATTTTCTTGCCCTGGTGAAGGGAGTTGGACTGCATGACCTTAAGTATTTTCTGTTGGTCATGGGGGTTCTGTGTGGGAAGTTTGCCCCAATTCTGTCGTTGTGGGGTTCAGAATGCTCTTTGATTGTAGGTGAACTATAAATCCCAGTAACTACAACTCCCAAATGTCAAGGTCTATTTCCCCCGAACTCCATCTGTGTTCATATTTGGGCATATGGAATATTTGTGCCAAGTTTGGTCCAGATCCATCATTGTTTGAGACCACATTGCTCTCTGGATGTAGGTGAACTACAACTCCCAAACTCAAGGTCAATGCCCACCAAACCCTTTCTGTTTTCTGTTGGTCATGGGAGTTCTGTGTGCCAAGTTTGGTTCAATTCCATTATTGGTGGAGTTCAAAATGCTCTTTGATTGTAGGTGAACTATAAATCCCAGCAATTAAAACTCCCAAATGACAAAATTATATATGTATGTATGTATGTATGTATGTATGTATGTATGTATATATATATATATATATATATATATATATATATATATATATATATATATATTGAATGATTTTGTCATTTGGGAGTTTTAATTGCTAGGATTCATGGTTCACTATTGCTAGGATTTATAGTTCATATATATATTGAGTGATGGTCCCTCCTTGGGTTAGGAGGCAAGGGATGCGTCTGGTAACCTTGGCAACCGGGCCTCCCTTCCCCCTCCTCGTGCGTCCAGGAAGGAAGGGATTTCCCGGCGCATTCGAATGACGCAAGTCGCCTGCACAGGCGCACGTGGGTTGCTCAGAGTAAGGAAGACTGGGAAGCCTGTCTACGCAGGGAAGACTGGGCTTTACACTTCACTCTAAGCCGGTAGGTACTATTTATTTAAAAGAGAAGGCTAAAGACATGGCAATTCAAAGTGGTGCTAAACTGCTTTAATTATAAGGTGTAGATGCACCCTTTGCTTCTCATCTGGCTGGTTACAAGGATCAGATCACTCCTTGCCTCAATATACTCAGCTGTGATTTATAATACAGGTTGAGCACTCCTTTATCAGAAATCCTCCAAAATTGTCTATGTGAGTGGTTGAGGCTGGGTCATGTAGATCCAGCCTCAGGCACGAGGTGCAGAGCTAACCTTAAGAAATGGGGCTACAAAGTGGAGCCCACGACATGCGAGTGTGGAGAAGAGCAAATTACAGACCACCAACTACAATGAGGTCTGAGCCAGTTCAAAGCAGATATTCTGAGTTGTGTGGCTGTGTGGAAGGACCCTTAGCAGCAAGTTCTCCACAAAATGGAAGGAAGCCCTTATAGACTTCATTATGCCTCTGGCTTCTCTGGCTCACCCCCTGTTCAGATATCAGCCAGCACACCAAAGCCTTAAATCAAGAAATAGTTTTCTGAGATTAACAGATATTCGCAGAAACACCTCAGCAAGCAAGAGTCCAAAAATGGCAGGCTAAAACCTCAACCCATGGCTGATACTGAATGAGAGACTCCCTCCTAGGCACATAGAAGACTGGGCGACTTGGAAGGCACTGAACAGACTGCGCTCTGGCACCACGAGATGCAGAGCCAACGTTAAGAAATGGGGCCACAAAGTGGAGTCCACAACATGCGAGTGTGGCAAAGAGCAATCCACAGGCCATCTATTACAATGCAATCTTGAGCCCTGCCACATTTACAATGGAGGACCTTCTCATAGCAACAACAGAGGCACTCCCAAGTGGCCAGCTTCTGGGCAAAGGACATATAGCATAATGCCAAGTTTTTAACTCTTGTTTGTGGCTTTTTATACATTGTAACTGTATTCTCAATTTGCTTCAGACACAATAAATAAATAAATAAAATACATTGAAGTCATGCAATGCTGTTTGAGCTGCATTATATGGTCAAATTGAGACCCCTATAATCTACTTCACTGCAGTTCAGACTGACTGCATTATATGGGTCAGCACAGCATGGTGCTAAATGGGTCTACACTAGGCATGGGCAAATGTGGGCTCTCCAGGTGTTTTGGAATTCAACATCCACAATTCCTAACAGCCAGTACGCTGTTAGGAATTGTGAGAGTTGAAGTCCAGAACACCTGGAAGGCCCAAGTTTGCCCATGCCTGGTCTACGCTGACCATATAATACAGTTGGCTGTGTAGATCCAGCCAGAGATAATCACAATTTTGTGTTTCAGTGATTCAGTGTGTATCAACTTTGCTTCTACTTATCTATCTACCTATCTAAATTTTGTGTGTGAAATTGGCTTCAGGCTGGATCTAAAGTCTGTACGAAATATAAATCAATTTCATGTTTAGATTTAGGAGCCCCCAGTGGTGCAGTGGGTTAATTATTATTATTATTTATTAAACCCCTGTGCTGGCAGGACTGAAGACCGACAGGTCACAGGTTCGAATCTGGGTAGAGTGTGGACGAGCTCCCTCTATCAGCTCCAGCTCCTCATGCGGGGACATGAGAGAAGCCTCCCACAAGGATGGTAACACATCAAAACATCTGGGCGTCCCCTGGGCAACGCCCTTGCAGACAGCCAATTCTCTCACACCAGAAGCGACTTGTAGTTTCTCAAGTCGCTCCTGACACGACAAAAAAAAAGTTTATATTTGAGTCCCTGTCCAAATATAGGTGTCTGAAAATGCCTTGAAATCCAAAACGCTTCTGGTCCCAAGGATTTAATTTTTTTTAAAATGACACATAGAAAAAGTACATCTTAGAGTTAAGGCTTGCACATTCTTTCATTTTGCATGACAAGGCAACAAATTGAACTGTGTATTTAATGCTTCCTCAGTCATGTATGATGCTCTATTGGGAAGCTGGTTTCCTCCCACTACCTTTTAAAATGTTTTGCTAACAGCCAGACACCATCGCATTCAGATCATTTGAACGTACGTAACTATAGGATCCTGACCAATGTACTGCAGTTTTATAATTTGGTCAAGCTTATACCATTTGCTTAATAGCCTGCTTCTGTGCATTTTTATTTGGCAATGTGTCCCACTTACTATATTGCAAATAGGAGTGTGCATGAGATCCAAGGCTGCAGTAACCTTAAAAAACCCCGAGGGAGCCTGTGAGTATTATTAGCAAAAACATTATTACTGAATTTCTAAAAAATTATAAAACAGATAAAAATGCATTTTATCAGTATTTTAGGCAATGGGCAAGAACAAGGCAAAAGGTCAGAAGCAAATGAATGTATTCCACGTGGCCAACAGAAAAATAATGAAAGCTAAGAGTAAAACAAAGCCAGTGACAACCAGTTTGAAAAAGGTAAGTGTTAGAGGAAAATCTGTTGTTATGAAATTTTTATTATGACCAAATTTGTGAAATATTACATTTTGTGTGCTACATATTACAGCTACAAGGTCTTTAAAGCCACAGTGGAGCCTGGTGGAGTTTCTGTCTCTGGAAGCTTTTAAGCAGAGGCTGGATGGCCATCTATTAGGAGTGCTTTGTTTCTCCTGCACAGCAAGGGATTGGACTGGATGACCTTTGGTGTCTTTCAACTCTAGGATTCTGTGATCCAACAAGTGTCATCTTAAATGTATTAAACATGAATACACTGCCACCTTCAGTTTGGTGCTGATATTTCCCTTTGGATTTTGCTTTTGAGGGTTTATGCTCAAGTTAGCCTTAAACCCAATTTACTGCTTCCTTATATATCGTGAGTGCTTTGATTGTGTTTTCCTGCATGGCAGGGGGTTGGACTGAACGGCTCATATGGTCTCTCTCCATTCTGTGATTCTATGAATACATTTCCAAAGAGGTAATTGTGTTGCGCTGTTGCCAGCTTGAGTATGGGATGGCACAGATATGGTGGAGCAGAAGTAGATACCCTTTTTTCAAGAACTATAGCATGTTGTATATTCAAAGAACACATGCAGCATACAGTATGGAACATCAACCTCATAACCTGTAAAGTAGCTAGAAGGAAGAGTATTCTCTGTTCTAAGTGATTTAAAATATGATTTAATTTAATTTGTACAGTTATTACATGGTCAAACTATTATAGTAGCTTCTTGAAAATTCAAAATCTCTGTATTTCCCCCTTTCTCTAAAGATCAATATTGTGAATGATGAGAAAGTTAATACAGTGAACAAAGTATTCACAGAAGTTCAAAAAGAAGTTAAACAATTGTCAAAGGCGATTGCATCAAACTCTTCAAAGCGAACTCAGGTAACAAAACCACCAGTCCCCTTGATCTGTATCTTTAGTTCATAAACTGATATACTCAGAATTTTAAAGCACAACACCTTCAATTCTTTACATTGTTAAGATTAGCTGCATGCTCATCTATACAAGCCAAAAACTCCAGCCTCACAGTGAATGGAAGACAATGCACAAACTTCCAGTATTTATCCCAGGTGTTTTAGCTTTGAATCATATTTGCCCCACTTTGGGTAATGGTTTTCGGGCAGTCTGGACTGCTGGTTCAAGTCTGATTTAACCTGTCCAGATGGGACACTGGTGCCATGTGGCCATGTTTCCGCCTCTCAAAGCTGACCATGGAGCTCCATGAGAGCTTCTGGCCGTCCTGGGTGCATCTGCTGACATCAGAACTGGGTGCCAGTGTGAGGAGGAAAAAGGGGCCCAAATGCCTATGCATCCAGCCAATCTCTTTCTTTCTGGTCATGTGGGTGTCCTTTCTGGCATTGGCGAAGGTGCCTGTCATACGACGGAGTTTTTATGTAGCTGTGTGGCTAGGTAGCAGTGGTGACACGAAGAAGATGAGCTGCTGTGTTCTGCTGTTGTGTAAACATTGATGCTAGGTCTGGGGATGTTCTGGGGCACATTTACACCAGGTTGAATTGCATAGAGTAGATGACCCCTTACGCTTGACAACTTGCTATAGTGTTGTATGACAGGTTATCAAGGGCAAGTGACCACAGATTTTGTTGGAGGAAATGGAAGAAAATGATTTAAGTAATAACCTGGTCTTTAGCTAGAAGGCTTATGAAAGAAACAGTCCATCCCAGAAACATTGGCAGAACTACAAATTGGAAACCCCAGGGAGTGGGAGAAGATAACATTTTCACAGATAATTTTCTAATATTTCTCTTCATTGTCTTTATATATTGTTGACATATCAAAAGAGAAGTTGTACTGCATATATACATATCTACAGCATATATCCTATATTATATATTATACTGTACATTCGTATATTGTATACTATACCATAGTATATATTGTCTTCAGCTATCAGCGACTTATCTGTAGCAACTGTTTTGAGGAAAATTGGTTAGAGTTCACAGAAAATATTTTTTTATAATACAGGCAGTTCCCAATTTACAGTTATAAATGTCCAACTTACAAATGACTCACAGTTAAGAATGGGGTGAGACAACTGGAAGGGAGAGAAATCTATCCCTAGGAAGGAAAATTCACTCCTGGAAGAGTTATATGGGGGGAAAGGTGTCTCAACTGAATCTTTATCACCTATCCGTGGCACGGACAGCAAAAGAAACAGCACAGGGATGTTAACCCTTCCCTATAGATGGCATAGGGTAAGGGTAACACCCCTGTGGTGTTTGTTCTGTTGTCTGTGGCAAAGATTGGTTATATCTACCTATCTGGCTGGAGTTACTCTTAAACAATGTACCTATCACAATTTACAAACAAATTCAGCTTAAGAACAAAACTACAGAACCTATCTTGTACTTCAATGTATGTTTTCCACTTCAGGTTCCAAAGACCATGGAAGGTGAACCAGCCAACGTGGAGGCTGCTGCTAACTTATTGTCTCAGTTGTAGTGCAAAAGGATGTGTCTACATCAAGGTTCCATCTCTGGTATATAAAAAATGACAACTTTTTGAATAGTCCTTTATTGTATTTTAAAGATCTTCTTAATGTACAAGTATTGGCACTCTGTTACAAATAGTGCTTTCCTATATCTAGGAACATGGAATGTCAGAAGTAAAAAAAGGGAAGAAACTTAAAGTGCTATTAAAAAGGCACTCCATAAAAATATTATCAGTGTTCACTGAAGAAAATGGAGTAATCTCTAATAAATGCCCTTCTTTTTACAATTGGCAGTGGACTTTTCAGACACAATTCCTGTATTTTAGAATGATTGTTCCCAGGGGGACCAAATCTGAACAAATACAGCTATCTCTTTGAACAAATAAGAGATCTGCGATCAGTTCAGTACAATACTGTATTGTACTGTAACTGTATTGGAGTACCATAACAGCTGAATGCCATCCCATCCACTGCATTTAAACACCAGTACTTTTGTTCATCACAGTAAGAAGATGTGTACCCAGTGTTGAATTACAGAAGTTTTACATTCATTATTTTCAATACTTGTGTTATGAAAGAAAGTCTAAAATATTGTAGTTAGAGGTAGATGAGGCAATCCGGCTGTTTCATATCTAATAGTTCAGTATCTGCACATCAAAGAGATCACAAATGCCTTCATTGTCATCCAGGTTGAAGCTGTAGTCATCTTCAGGAGTAGGAGAGAGTCTTAAGAGAGGAAAAACTGCAAGGAAAAAGGTTTCCAAATTTAATCACAGTCCCTTTGGCCACAACATCCTTGCTAAATCTACTTTCTTTTTTAACTAGAAATCCAGCACCCAATCATTGAAACCAGATCCAGAAAGAATAAACTTAGCATTAAAATAAAAACAAATCCAAGTCACATTAAGACTAGAGATTCATTTTTGCTACCAGAGCTGAACCAAAATGGCCCCTCTTTTTTGTTTTCCTCAAGCTATCTTCACTTCAGCACCACAATTTAAAAGGAAAAGGGAATCTTGTTACAATTTCTGAAAAAAATTAAGAGAAGTCAAAAACCCTTGCTAGTTTACTGCAAGTCACATTTATCTTAAATGCACACCTCTGAACTGCAGGGCCAGAAACTTGTAATTAATATCAGAATTTTGTCATAAATATGGATACAACTATATTATTTTCTGCCCCACTATTCCGGTTACTTTTGCCCATGATACATTTCCAAGAGCTGTTTTGTCTGGGGGAGAAGGTGTGGACTATCCTATTCTATTACCTGTTAAGACTACTATGACATTATTAGAATACATAGTACCTTCAACTTTTTGTTAAGGACAAAGGTCAAGCAGGGGCTAGTGTAAACAAAAAATGTTTCTCATTAAGAGATGCAGGTTTATGAGCTAATACAATTTTTGTTGCTGATGTTACAAGTTTGCTTATGGTTTCATTCAAACACTGATTTTGAATTGGAGACCAATCTATCAACCACAGTGCAAATATCCTCTGAAGTACACTTAAAAGGAGCATCTAAAGTGATTCCCTACATTCTTTAGGTGTAATTTAAAGAATTGAAGTCAAGTGTAGTAATTGTCCCAGATTCAATTCTTTGTTCAGTCCTCTGGTCCCATTTTCATGCATAAATTGCTCAGCAAGGAGCTAAAGCTGGCACACCTCTTCACTATAAAGTGCAGCTCCAATTCCAATATTGCGGCTACCGTTATGATTACCATGTGAAGTGCACTAGCTCATACTTTTATTTTGTGGAAGCAATTCCTAACACACATTACTTCTGGGTAAGCACTCTAGAATAAGGACTGGTGGCCTTGTATTGTCACATAAAATTAGAACCATGGAATGCCAAATAGTTAACTGAGGCTGTTTATGTAAAATTTTAACTAACAAAAATGGCTCTGAATATACTACTGAAAACATTTTCTTAAATTATAAAAAGTTTACTTTTTTTGTCTCCAGGTATAAAGTGGAAGAGATAGCACACACCAGCCTCAAACTGATTTCTGTGATTGCAAAATTGTCAGGAAAAATAGGAATATCCATGGTGGAATTGGAAATCTACACAGCACAAGATCTTGTAATTAATCATCAGGCAAGCAAGAGATATTCCACAAATTCTTGAAGACCAAACATGTTTCTATTGACTACAGTGCAAAAGAAGAAGAGGCAGCTATGGCTTCATCAGGCCCAGAAGCAAATGAAAGACCGGACAGAAGCTCCTCCCCATTGCCAATCTGATTTATTCATATTGTTAGCCTGAAGGCAAGAAACTGTCAAATTAACAATTTGTATGCCAAACTTTGTAGTTGAAGAGTGGGATAAAAATATTCTAATAGAAATGTGGCTAGGTTTTCACAAGGGAAATCATTGCCCATGCTAAACATGTGAACGAGAATTGAAATGTGTTTAATAGAGAAGAAATAAGGAGGGGTTATTCACTTCAAATTGCAATTTCAGTTTTTTTAAAAATCTTCCAACTTGGTGCTGTATTGCATTGAGAAAACAGAAAGTATAGTTTTGCCAGGCTGGGGAAGGCTGCTTTAGAAATACGCCTGTTCTCTAATATGCATGATATGATTTAATATTTTTATCTTGTTACTGGTAAAGGAATTCACAAATAGTTGTTGAGTTTGTTTACTTTAAATATTATTAATTTTTGAACTGATCAGGGATCTATTGAATTGTGGTAACGGAATAAAGACCTCACAACCTCTGAGGATGCCTGCCATAGATGCAGGCAAAACGCAAGGAGAGAATGCTTCTGGAACATGGCCATACAGCCCGAAAAAACTACAACAACCCATATGCAGGATGTTTCCATTATACTAAAGCATTAAGTATATTGAGTTGGATCCAGATTTAGGCTTGTGCAAACAGCTCTTAGAAGGAGACCTTTCCACTCTTGTTCCCTAAAAAGTTGGGGAAATTTCCTCAATGTGTTGAGCTGGTGTCTGTAAAATCAGATAGAACCACCTTCCATGAAAAGACAGCTCTTGCATCTATACCACTGTACATCTCTTTAGAGATGCAACTAATATTTGAAATAAATATTCATAGAATGTTCAGAAAACAATTAAAATAAACTTACTATCAGAGGACATCAGTTCATCAATAATGTCACTGTTAATCATGCCTATTGGGAAGAAAAAAACACATTTGCAAATTTAATAAGATCAAATTACCTAATAATGCAGAGGTTACAAAATTCTTAAACAACTAATTTGCTCTTGTAGTTAAATCAAGTAAATGTTTTAAGCTGCTCAGTTACTTAAAGTTCCTGAATCTTTTCTCTTGACTTCAATTTTTTAACTAATAATATCCTGTAGTATGTTTCTGGAGAAAACTGCTTTCCACTTGACATTGCGTTACAAAATTAAAGCATTCAACATACAACATAAAATTTCAAGTTAGTTATGAAGAGCACCCTGATTTATCTTTATAAATTAAAAAAAACCCCTCAGAACCTTCCAAACCTTAACATTAGTATTTCAAAGGATGTTCTTTTACCTCCAGACTCATCCATCTTTGTTATGTCAAATGGGTTGGGTTTGAGAATACTATTAACATCTAGCGGAATGAACGACTGACAAGTATTTGGGCTCGTCACAGTTTCTGTTACAAGGCTCTCGTACAGCTCAGAACTGGGAACGCTGGCACAGAACGTCTCAGGGGTTGGGATGTCTTGTAAACTGATGTCTGTAACAGCAGAAAAGTTGGCCTTAGAAATTGATATGCTTCACCACAACAGACTAACAATATGGGATCTGCGATTCTGCTATAATACTGATATACAATCCAAAGAGGAAAAGATTATAAAAATTGCCACATTAGTAAACACACAGGATATAACTGAAAAGCCACTCTTGCATTTTGTTTACAGCTGTCATCTATATGTCCAAAGCACACTCTTACCTTCCAACAGTTCTGGAAAGCCACATTTTCTACTTTCAACAATATTTAATGTCAGCCCACCTATATAGTGTTCCAGTAATATAGTCAGAGATAACTGAATTGATGTCAATATTATTCTGCAGTAGTAAAAAAAATGTTTGGGATATATGGATTAACAACGGAAATGGGATTCTATCTATTTGTTAACCATCTCTGACCATCAGAAAAGAGGCAATGAAAAAAATTATAATTAACTTCCTGAGTCTAAATTGAGAAACTTTGGTTATCAGTCTGTGGTTTATGAACCTCAATTATCCTGACAATCTGAGTTAGGGTTTGACTGTAAACAATGCACTTTTAACTGGAAAACCTTTAGGACTCCCAAGAAAATGATGCATCAGATTCTAGTGACATCTATTATTTCCCAGGTAACGACTAGAAAGGAATAAAGTATGCTTAGGGAAGAGGAGAACATCATATACTCGGTATGACTTCAGGAATTGTGTGATTAAAAAGTGAACTGTAAACATATAAGGCTTTGTTTGAAAGTCCTTTCACTATACACCATTTCTAGTAATCATTTAATACAAAATGTTTGAAAATAATACATGAGTAACTAGGAAATCCAGGTACAATATACTGAGGTCCATTTAAATGTTTTGCATTTAATTCCAGGAAAGAAGTTTTTGAATAATGTTGCTAGATTGAAATGTCACATATAAGCACCAGTTATGTTCGAATGATAATAATTCCACTAATCCAAGCAATTGAAGAAGTTTCATAATTAACTGTACCTGTTGTTGCCATATCTGCAACTGGTGTCTGGGACAAAGATAACTCCTGATTAGGAGTTCCAGATTCTTGTAACGTCTGAGGCTCTGCATCCATTTTAGAAGGAGTCAAGGGAATTGTAGATTGAGAAGGAAGATGTAGAAGGTCATCTGGTGGAGGGACAGGAAAAACCACTGGCTTGGAAGAACTGGACTCTTTATTTATGAGCAGCACATGAATAGGCCCTGAATTACTCTTGAGATTGATCTGGTATTTCTTTTGTCCCTTGAGAGAAATACAGGGCAGATAAAAGGTAAAGTTACAAGCTGAATTAGCTGTGGGCATTGGGTTAGTAATCAAGCCTAAAAGGTAAAGGTTTCCCCCTGACATTAAGTCCAGTCGTGTCCGACTCTGGGGGCTGGTGCTCACCTCCATTTCTAAGCCGAAGAGCCAGCGCTGTCCATAGACACCTCCAAGGTCATGTGGGCAGCATGACTGCATGGAGAGCCGTTACCTTCCCACCAGAGCGGTACCTACTGGTCTACTCACATTTGCATGTTTTTGAACTGCGAGTTTGGCAGAAGTTGGGGCTAATAGCAGGAGGTTACCCCGCTCCCCGGATTCGAACCTGTGACCTTTCCCTTAGCAAGTTCAGCAGCTCAGCGGTTTAACCTACTGCGCCACCAGGGGCTCCAGTAATTAAGCCTAGTATGTCAGAAACTACATGAAAGCTATGTATTGCACGGCATGGAGAATCTTTGGGCAACATTTTTTTTCTCTGATCAATGCCCCTCCCCCATATAAGACCCTCATGTTTGAAGGGACTGATCTGCAACAGAAATGCAAAATATGGGTATGATAAGGGTGTTACAATAGGAATTTCTCAGGCTACAATACTCACCAAATGAGGTGAAAAACAAACCAATAAGGAAAGACTTGTACCTAGAACAAGTACCTAGTACCTCAACGGGCCAATATTGTCTATTGTGTATGTTGTTTTTTATGGTTTTAATCTGAATATTGTTGTTGTTTGTACTGTTGTAAACCGCGTTGAGTCGCCAATTTAGGCTGAGAAACGGCGGTATACAAGCACAGTAATAAATAAATAAATAATAAATAATAGAACTAATGCCCGTTTGCCCCATCAACATGTTTTGCATTTGTAATACTACCCACATTCCCCTTTCGCTTTTACAGCATTCTTCCCAGCAGCTTAGGAAACTTCAAACTTAATTAGATGCCTGTTATATTGGGAATGCTCATCATCTTTTTGTGTGTTTTAATGCATTTTACTATTTTTTAAAAATATTGAAACTAAATTAGTGTTACTTTTACAATTTCTGGGGGCTACAAAAACGATGATTATAAAAACTAGATGTAAACAAATTCCTCAAGTAAATTCCTGCCTGGAACCAAACTTTGTCCCCCATCCACTTTTTCTTTTGCTAATCCATCAAGTTTAAAAAGCTGAGTATACATACCACCTGAGGTACAGGAACTTCCAACTGTGTGCCAGAAGGTGCCTGGATTGCTAGTAGTGTATCCCCTGATTAAGAATTGCCAAGTGTTAACAGAAGGATTTGTAGACATTGCTCAATGCTATAAAATTAATTCAGTACACATTTGTAAATTCAGCTTGAAATCATATACATCTGCATTCATTTCCTAGAAGCCATATTCAGATGTAATTAGATTTAATTAGCCTAAGTATGTGGAAAAGAGAGCACAACATGCCTACACTTTATCCCCATGTTTCTACTCCTAGGCGTGTAAGAGAAGACAGTCTCCATGACTGAAAAGAAGTGTTTCAGCTCACATGACGAGCCTTCACAGATGGAAAGATTTAACCTATTTACTCAAAACTAATGCCCATGTTTTTGGCTAAATGACCTAGTCAAAATTATGGTGTGCACTAGATTTGTCTAATTTGGTAACCTTTGTGCTGAGCCAAAGCAAAAGGGGAAGCTGCTTCTGGAGCATCTCTTTGAGGGACACCATCTCTAATTCAATGGCCAAGGCTCAATGCTATGCAATCCTGGGATTTGTAGTTTGGTGAGGCAACAGCATTCCCTGGCAGAAAAGGCTCAAGACCTTGTAAAACTACAGCTCCCATGAGTCCATGGCATTGAACCAAAGCAATTAAAGTGGATTCATTCTACATCATAGGTTTTCTTTTCTGTTGTTGGAAGCTTTGGTGTTCAAACACTTTCATTTTTAAAAAAATAAATTCTAACCAAACAGCAACTGTAATCAGCATCTTTTTTGGCCAAATTACAAAGAGTGCAATTTGCCGCTGCACGTTATGTTCTGCAGCAAATACTTTTTTTGATTTCAGGGTTTTGAAAATTGAAATGCACATTAGATTTGATGGTGCATTAGACTCAAGTAAATACTGGTAGCTGAATCAGACTTAACAGTGTCTGGAAGCAGATATGAGGATTGTATGTATAGGAGAGTGTGTTGTCAACATAACAATCTATTTTAAAAGCACCATGCTTTTATGAGAAGCTCTTTTAATTGTGTAACATCAAGATGTTTCTGATTTGTGATGACTCTTAAAATAAACCTATTCTGGAGTTTCCTTGGCAAGGTTTATTTATTCTAAGACAGAGAGTGTGAAACTTGACAGTAGTTTACACTGGCTGAGTTGGGCATTTGAACCTTGGTCTCCATCAGAGATCCTGTCCAACACACATAGCCATACCATTATACTAGTTTTCCTGAAGAGGGACACTTTTTTGTAACTTGGCGACATCACATTTCTGTATTCTGTCCACTTTATTCTCCACAGAGGTGTAACATTTCTAGAATTTTGAAGCCATGAAAAGAATTGTAAGATTTTTTTTAAAAAAATGAAAATGCCATTATTAGCACCCTGTGCAGATTGAACCTCTATTATATTAAGAAAAATGTGTTATATGCAACTTGGTTTGGCATAAAATATGAATGTATGATATAGTAAACACAACATTTATTGAAAAAAGAAATACACATTAAATTTATTTCTTCTTACAAATGGTACGATAGTGTTATATAATAAAAATAATAATATCGTCATCATCTACTGCAGTGATTTTCAACCTGTGGGTCCCCAGGTGTTTTGGCCTACAACTCCCAGAAATCCCAGCCAGTTTACCAGCTGTTAGGATTTCTGGGAGTTGAAGGCTAAGAACCACTAACTATTGTGTTCTCCTTAACATATTTACTCAGCAGCCAAATAAGGTTTATTAGATCTTATTTCATTAACTGGTGTGTGTTTGGAATTCCAGTTCTTTTGCATCAGATGATAGTATGCAACATTTTGAGATAGTGAAACACTTCTGCAAAAGGGCAAAAGTTTTTTTGGGGGAGGGGGGTGTAAGATATTTATATTTCTGTCTTTGAACAACCTAATTGCTTCTGAAAAGATGCAGCTAACTTCAATTTCTGAATAAACCAATAATGCTAATTACAAAGCCTATGGGCCACTAAGTCAACATCACAGGTTTCCCCCACAAAGCGATCATATTCTCCACCAACTTACCATTGAAGCAATCACAGATGTCTTCATGGGTGATGTATGAAAAGGTGGACCAATGTCAAGGATTTGTTTTTCAAAATACTATGATAAAACAACATGAGACTTGGAATATTTTCAAAGAGGGATTGCAATTTTTGTTTGAATCTTTTGTTTGGCATAAAATGGAGCAGTGGCTGGAAGTACATAGTTAAACATAGCAGAACCATCATTTTTTTAAAAAATGTGGTTTTGACAAAAACTCACTATGGCGTTCTTACTTAGGAATAAACCACAAGTAAAGATGCTATGTAGAAGACATTTCTTTTTTCATATTTTTCCCAGCCCCATAATGTCATTCAACTCTGACAGACCTTTTTTTATAGTAGTTGCATTTGAATGACCAGCACATGAGAACACTGTGTGGGTTTCTGGAAGAAATCTGGAACACTGCCTTCAACCCTTGTATCCCAGGCATTGAACAGTGCATGGCATACTCCTTAGGAAACATGTATAGGATCAGGCAAGTAAACATTGATCAACTACCAAAGAAACATTGCAATCATTCCATTCTCAAAACTCTCATTAAATGTTTTAAAGGATATTGTTTATTATCAGAATCTTCCTTCACATTTTTTATGCTTTGCTGCAACCATATTTTCTGCTGATCTAACTCTTTTTCTTTTAATTCAAGATCTTGAATTTCAGCTTCCAGGTATCTCAACCTGTCCACAATCTCTTTTGTATTGCAGCCAGCACCCACACCTCTTCAAAGAGAACAAAAAACAACAACAATATTGACACATCTACAAAGTGGTAACACTGGCTTAAAATACTTTAGCATTAGTGATTTAGAAATCTTTCAATGAGTATTAATTACATGTATGCTTTGAAAAAGAGTCGCACATTTCAGACCAAACCCAACAGCACATTTTTGCTGAAGGAAAACAATGGGGAAAATCACTCTGTGATAAAAGACTGAGTTTTGGTTTCCTCTAAATGAAAATTCTGATGGGTCAAGATACAATAGCAGAAATCCTATACTGAGCAGTAATATAATTCTTCCCACATGCACACCTATGTCCTCCCACACCCCAACCCTGTCAAATCCCAGGAGCAGCTAACTGGAGGGGGAGAGGAGGAGGATGGAGCTGATTCAGGCAATGCAGAAATGGTTGATCTCATCTTGGAGGGGAGAAGAAACCCTAGAATCATAAACCCATAGAGTTGGAAGAGATCCCAAGGGCCATCTAGTCCAACAGCCTGCCTTGCAGGAACATACAATCAAGTACCCTTGACAGCCTCTGTTCAAAAACCTCCAGAGAAGGAAGGAGGCTTGACCACAAGGAAGCAGATTCCACTGCCAATTAGCTTTTTCCCCTAATATCTGGGTAGAATCACCTTTTCTGCAGTTTGAATCCATTACTTTGTATCTCACTCTCCAGAGCAGCAGCAAACAAGCTTTTCCCCTTCTCATTTTGGCAACCATTCAGATATTTAAACTTGGCTTTCATGTCCCTTTTGTGCCTTCTTTTCTCCAAACTAAACCTCCACAGCTCCCTAGCTGTTCTTCACAGGGCTTGGTTTCCAAACCTTTGGCCACCCTTGTCAATATCCTTCTTGAATTGTGGTACACAGTACTGAACACAGTGTTACTTCTATGTGAGGTCTAACCAAAGCAGAATAGAGTGGTATTATAATTTCCCTTGATCCTATTGATGCAGCCTAGAATTGCACTGGCTTTTTAAGATTTCACAATGCACTGTTGACTCGTGCTCAAGCTTGTGGTTTACTAAGACTCCTAGATCCCTTTTACATGTACTGTTTTCAAGACAGATATCACCCATCCTATATCTGTGCATTTCATTTTTATTGCCATAGTGTAGTACCGTAAATTTCTCCCTGTTGAAATTTTTCATTCCCCCGGCAGCCCAGACCAGCCATATCTTGATTGTTTGAATCTACCCCTTGCTCCTCTCCCCAGGTCCTAGACACCTCCAAGCAAGTGCAACAAAATCTCCAGTTTGAAATTCTACAAGTCAATGTTAACTTACTGAGCTAAATAAGCCAACTGGCTGATTTTGTACAGGGGGGCTTTCAAGGTACCTAAGGGGTTGCATTTCTTTCAAACAAACTTCCAGCATCTGCCTAACTGTATCTGAATAACACAGTACCAGAATATATAGAAGGTGACAGTCACCAACATGTTGTATTCTGACATACATCTCATGATTATAAAATTGATCTTTGCAAAGGAAAACTATTATCTTCCACATTTTGTGTAACAAAATGTTTTTGTAAAGAGGTATGTATATCTTACTTCCACTGGATGCTGTTCTTTGACTTTTTTTCAATGAGATCTATCCCTTCCAAAACATTGGTGATATCATAGATCCGCCTCTTCTGTCTTACTGCAAGCGTATCAGCTGCCTGGTAAAAGAAAAAGAGAGACAAAGAACAATGAAGGGCAAAAGGTGAGGCTCATTAGATAGCTTCAGTGCCTCTGTACAAGTCTCCAAGGGAACACTAATCACAAGACCAAAAGGGTAAATTTTCAACCTGCCACAGCCACAGATGTGCAATTAGATGTCTCGGACCACCCTTTCTGTCTCTGGAACAGGGACAGCCACCTTACAAATGACCTCTTCAAAATATGCCTCAAGAAACATGTGAATGAGTTCTTTGAAAGTTATCCATGCATGAGTCAACTGGGTGGAGGAATGGAAAGAGGGAGGGGAGAGAGTTGAAAAGATGGTTCTTTTCAGCAACATGTGGGGGAAATGCCATTTTCTTTAAAATATTAGAAATGGAATACAGGAATGTGAAGGGTATGACAATTCACAGCAGCAAAGGAAAATAGGCTCCTTCACATCTTTTAAATTAAATGTAATTTTATTATGGACTTGCTTGCTATGCTATTATCACATTCTTGTGTCATAATGTGCTATTATCACATTCCTGTGTTGTAATATGATAGGTAATGGTTAAGCAAAAGAATAAATATTATGGCTATTGTGTATATAACAAGTAATAAGAGAGAAACTGGTAAAATCCAGAGATGCTCAAGTATGCTCTAGTATCTATTGTAGTACCTATTATCCACACTGGTGCTAAATATAACAGAAGAAGGAGAGTAAAGTTCAACCTGCAAGTAAGAGTCAACGTGATCAGAAATCTAAACTTGAAGCCTCAATTTTTTGTGTTGCCATGGATCCAATGAAAACTTTTGGAGATACGATCTGCCTGATTCTGCACCACAAACGTTGCCCACAACAACACAATGTGAAAGATTGTGTTTAGTTATTCTCTACCACATAGGTACAGATAGTATAACGTCTGGCAAACAAACAACAAAACAATCAAGAAATGGAAGTCTGGGTGTTTCACCCTGTGACTACATTTCAACTTTACACTGATGCAGCAATCTTAAGCTACATTTCAGTTCAAATTCTGAAAGATATGCAAATATTTCCAATGCTTCCCTCTTCGTCAACAGTTAATTATTTAAAGCCACAAACACAAGTCTAATTCAAAAGTCTGACTTTACATGAGTTCCAGGTTAGCACCTGTGACTAAAATCCAAAAAAAGCTTTGACCAATAGCACCATAAAGATAACAACAATATATTGATGTGCTGGATTTGTTTAGAATTTTGTACTCTATGATCAACATTTGGAAATTCAAACTCAAATGTATTTCTAGCATGGGTTTTAATTATGCATAATGGGAAAAAAACATTTTATAGATACTTACGGTGTGTATTTTAATAGGTATTGACATGCTGCACTTCACTTTCTTCAGTAACTACACAGCTGTTTATTCTACTCTTTCACTGGGTGTAAATAGGTGTTGGTCATAAAGTAGATATTTCAAAGCTTGTCAAAAAAAACTTTGGAGCAAGCAACACTTAAATATACTGATTACTCATTCTCTACAATAGATACAGCTAATACTGTCTCGAGGCCTGCTTACAGTGACCAGTTCAGAACTCTGAAAAGACAAGTCTGGGTGAATCTACTGTAGAAATAATGCAATTTCACACAATTTTAATTGTCATCACTCAATGCTACAGAATCCTGGGGGTTGTAGTATCTTACTCTTTGGCAGAGAAGGCTCAAAACGGCAGTAAAAGTGGTGTCAAGCTGCATTAATTCTCCAGTGTAGATCCACTCTTCATTTCTGTCCTGGTAGTCTACTGGGTGAGGAGGAAGTGAGGAGTGTATAATGTAGAGACAGAAATGCACAGCCTTGCATATTTTTGGCTCTGGCTTTGCCCACTATTAGTATGTGGTTATCCAAAGGTTATCCCCAGGACAACACGGCCCTCTAAAACTTGTTTCAGTACATACTTGGAACCTACCATGATATATTTGGCTGATCAAAAATATCCAGAAACAAATCACCTGGTGCTGCATACACCTGCTTTCCCAATGCATCTTGAAACATATATTTTCTAAAACAGGTGTGTCTACCAACATTGTTTGTTGTCCCAAAACACAGATTAAGAAAAGTGCACTTCAGATTAGCTACATGACCCATGCATTTCCCCTTCTCAAAAATTATTCTGGTGCAGCCACATTCCTATGGTATAATATATGCATAGAGTGAGTGTGTAGTTGGGACATAAGGAAAATGTAATATTAACAGACCATGAAATGAATGCCAACTAATAGTATTTACTGATGTCTTCTACACACCTCAAAACTCCTCAACTATACAAATACACACATTTATGCAATTACAATGGTATGGATGGACCAATAGTAAGTGTAGAAATGAATCCCACACCCAATTCCAATCAGAATGAGTCACGTGACTGAAATTTTAGTCACCTGGTACACAGCAACCTAGAAAGATCTGTCTGAAAGGAGGATGTTTAAACCTGAATATGGTAATGCAAGATAGGGAAACTTTGGTCCTTTATGTGTTTTTACTTTTTACCAAAATCCCTAGGAAGCAGGGCCAATACCAACAAATGTAGCACCCCTAATCTAGCACCTGGGTCCACAGTAAGACAACAAAAAATGTAAAATAAAAATTGTACACATTAGCTCCCAACAAGTACATATAATATGGCTGATCCACTATCTCTCACATGAGATATCTTTACATCTTTACTATTATAGGGAGAAGCTTGCACTTTTTGGGTTGGATCCTCACCAAGCTAACTTGTCATTCACATTGATGTGGTATTTGTCATGAGTAATTTGTCACATTGATTGGATAAACTGGGTCTATATATGAATTACACAAATGGCAGAGCAAGCCACCTTTGGATGGTTTTCCATCACAGAAGCAGAATCTTCAATGGTCAAGTTCATGAAGCACCTGTTGTTGTGTGGTTTCAAGCTATTTCTAGCCTATGGTGACACTAAGATCACAGGGTTTTCTGAGGCTAAGTATATGAATTTCCAAATGTCACCCAGGGGGCTTCTAATGTCTGAGCAGGGATTTGAACCTGACCTCCAGAGTCACAGTCAAATGTTCAAACCACTATGCCACGCTGGTTCCAGGTGGAGGAGAATAGAATTTTAGTACAAATAACAGCTGATAAAAATATCCTTCATTTCAGAAAGAGCAGAAGATTGACTTAATAGCAAATTTCCTCTAATGGGTTAATCCTAGCAATGTTTGTTTGGATACAGGCTTCACTGAACTCGGAGGGACTTCCTTCTGGATAAATCTGCATTACTTTGGGCAGCTATCCCAACTGCAGACTTTCTTGGAACTAAAAACAAAACCACTGTAAATCAGATCAGCCATGGATTATTCAGTTTCATAGCCATTAGTCTTTTAAAATCTTTATCTAGTAAAGCGGGACAGTAAGTCATGCAGCCATGTAGATGATGTAGAACTTCAACTCCCAATACAGCCAGAACACTCAATGGTCAAGAGTGCTGGGAATTGCAGTCCAACCACATTGGAAGTATTTTAGAGCCACATAACATCTTAGGGAAAAGTTCAGTTATGGTTCCAATTGGACATATCTGAAAACAAGATGCCCTAGGCCACTAAATAAAACACACACACATACACACAAGAAGAAAATAATTTCAACTCCTATCCAACTCCAGGACTGAAGCATTCTACACAAAAGTGTCAGTGAGAAACAGAACTGGAAGAGTCCAAAAACCATGAAATTTACAGCATTTTCTTAGGGTTCCTTCTTCTAACCCAGTGGTTCCCAACCTCTGGTCCTCCAGTTGTTCTGGACTTCAGCTCCCAGAAATCCCAGCCAGCTTACCAGCTGTTAGGAATTGTGGGAGCATTCCTATGCACACAACAAGAAAAGGAAGTCTCCACAAACGTAGACCCGCCTCTGATGTTGCTTCTTCTCTAGCTCCAGGGCTCTACACATTGGCTACACTGTCCCTGTACTGTAAATTGTGTGAAGGGTACCACAGCCCTATGCAGCAGCCATACACATATTTCTGCAATTAACATGTTCAGCCTTTTGATGGAAAGATTCTAGGGTGGCTTCCCCCAACCAAGTACCTTCCAGATATTTGATCCATCACTAGAGGTCACATTATCTGAGGTTCATCCATATCACAATTTAAAATATCTAGTAGGCATCAGGTTGGGATATGCTGTCCTGGAGCAATGGCCCACTTTGGCTGGGTGCATCTCCACTGTGTAGAACGAATGCGATTTGGCACCACTTTCGCTGCCATGGGATCCTGGGAATTGTAGTTTTACAAGCCTGTTAGGAATTGTGGAAGTTGAAGTCCAAAACACCGTGAGGGGCCAAGTTTGTCCATGTCTGCTCTACACTCTAGAAGGGGCAAACTTGGACAGAGGTTTGTAAAGCTACAAGTCCCAGGATCCCATAGCAGCTGAAGTGGTGCCAAATTGCATTAGTTCTACATAGGTGCACATAGCCAAAGTGGGCTGGTGGCTCAGCAAACTTGTGACACTTCTTTAACTGACATGCCATGCTATGGAACTGTGGGAGTTGTAGTTTGGCGAGGCACTGGCATTCTTGGGATAGAGAAGGCTTGTAAAACTACAACTCCCAGGATCCCATGGCAGCTAAAGTGGTGCCACACTGCATTAGTTCTACACAGTACAGGTGCACACAGCCAAAGTGGGCTGGTGGCTGAGCAAACTTGCGACACTTCTTTAACTGACATGACAGTTTGCTGAGCCACCAGCCCACTTTGGCTGCATGTGTCTCCACTGTGTAAAATTAATACGGTGTCCAGGGGAGCATTTGCACAACTCAAACTTGTGCGCCAGCTGCGCCCGTACCTTGGGAAGTCTGATTTGGCCACGGTGGTCCACGCTCTGGTTACATCCCGGATTGATTACTGCAACGCGCTCTACGTAGGGTTGCCCTTGAAGACTGCCCGGAAGCTTCAGATGGTCCAGCGCTCGGCAGCCAGGTTGCTAACGGGAGCGGCACTCAGGGAGCACACCACTCCTCTACTGCGCCAGCTCCACTGGCTGCCAGTCCGCTACCGGGCACAATTCAAGGTGCTGGCTTTAGCCTATAAAGCCCTAAACGGTTCTGGCCGCTTACCTCTCCGAACGCATCTCCACCTATGAACCGACTAGAACATTAAGATCGTCTGGGGAGGCCCTGCTCTCGATCCCGCCTGCGTCACAGGCGCGCTTGGCGGGGACGAGAGACAGGGCCTTCTCAGTGGTGGCCCCTCGGCTATGGAATGCCTTGCCGGCAGACATCAGACAGGCACCTTCGTTGCTGACGTTTCGGAGAATGGTCAAGACCTGGCTTTATGAACAAGTGTTTGGCTAAGCAAGGCAACTAATCAAGGAAGACGGTAAATGGAACATAGGAACGGCACAACGACTATGAGAACGGATCTGATTTCAACTGAGGCGTTATATATGTTGTTTGTTGATTTGTCCTGTCTGATTGTTAATTGTTGTGGATCGACGTCGTCGATCCTGTTGTTGCATTGTTGTGTTTTAATTGCACTGTAAACCGCATTGAGTCGCCTGTTAAGGGCTGAAAAATGCGGTATAAAAATGAAGCAAATAAATAAATAAATAAATAATGCAGTTTGGCACCACATGGTCGGAGCCCTTGTGCTGGCATGACTGACAGGTCATAAGTTCAAATCCGGAGAGCATGAATGAGCTCCCTCTGGCAACTCCAGCTCCCCATGCGGGGACATGAGAGAAGCCTCCCAGAAGGATGGTAAAACATAAAACATCATGGAGTCCCCTGGGTAACATCCTTGCAGACAGCCAATTCTCTCACACCAGAAGCGACTTGCAGTTTGTCAAGTCACTCCTGACATGGGGGAAAAAACTGACATGGTGCCATGCTATGGAATTGTGAGTTGTAGTTTGGTGAGGCACTGGAATTCTTGGACAGAGAAGGCTTAGAATCATAGAGTTGGAAGAGACCTCATGGGCCATCCAGTCCAACTCCCTGCCAAGAAGCAGGAAAATTGCATTCAAAGCACCCCTGACAGATGGCCATCCCGCCTGTTTAAAAGCTTCCAAAGAAGGAGCCTCCACCACACTCCAGGGCAGAGAGTTCCACTGCCGAACGGCTCTCACAGTCAGGAAGTTCTTCCTAATGTTTAGATGGAATCTCCTTTCTTGTCATTTGAAGCCATTGTTCCGCATCCTAGTCTCGAGAGCAGCAGAAAACAAGCTTGCTCCCTCCTCCCTATGACTTCCTCTCACATATTTATACATGGCTATCATATCTCCTCTCAGCTTTCTCTTCTGCAGGCTAAACATGTGCAGCTCTTTAAGCCACCCCTCATAGGACTTGTTATCCAGACACTTGATCATTTTAGTTGCCCTCCTCTGGACACATCCCAACTTGTCAATATCTCTCTTAAATTGTATTACCCAAAATTGGACACAATATTCCAGGTGTGGTCTAACCATGACAGAATAGAGGGGGTAGCATGACTTCCCTGGACCTAGACACTATGCTCCTATTGATGCAGGCCAAAATCCCATTGGCTTTTTTGGCCGCCACATCACATTGTTGGCTCATATTTAACTTATCGCCCACGAGGACTCCAAGAGTACTGCTCTCGAGTCATGCGTCCCTCATTCTGTATCTTTGCATATCATTTTTCCTGCCAAAGTGGAGTATCTTGCATTAGTCCCTGCAGAACTTCATTTTGTTAGTTTTGGCCCATCTCTTTAATCTGTCCAGATAATTTTGAATCCTGCTCCTGTCCTCTGGAGTATTGGCTATCCCTCCCAATTTGGTGTCCTCTGCAAACTTGACAATCATGCGTTCTAACCCTTCATCTAAGTCATTAATAATGATATTGAACTTGGCTTCTTTTGCTGCTGCATCACATTGTTGGCTCATGTTTAACTTGTTGTCCACGAGGACTCCGAGACCTTTTTTCACACATACTGCTCTCGAGCCAGGCATTGTCCCCCATTCTGTATCTTTGCATTTTATTGTTCTTGTCAAACTACAACTCCAAGAATCCCATGGCAGCTAAAGTGGTGCATTCGTTCTACGCAGTGAAGATGCTCCCAAAGTTTCCACAAGGCCTTTGAGTGTTCTCTGCCTAAGTAGGCTGGTGGCTCAGCAAACTATAACTCCAAGGATGCCAATGAGTCGTGGAAGTAACTGACTGCTGGGATTTGTAGTTTGACGAGGCAACCATACTCTTTTGGTAGAGAAGCCTTCCATAAACTACTACTACGTAGCAATGCAGCTCAGGCACGAGCTAACTTCGGCCTTTCCTCCGGGTGTTTTGGACTACAACTCCCACAATTCCTAACAGCCTACCGGCTGTTAGGAATTGCGGGAGTTGTAGTCCAAAACACCCGGAGGGAAGGCCGAAGTTTGCCCGTGCCTGGCCTAACGCCAACAGAGAGAGCTGCAGGGCTGGAGGAGGCCCACGCACCGCTTTCAGGTCGAGCACGCCGTCCTTGGCCTCCTGAAGGAGCGAGACGAACTTGGCGGTGAGGAGCCCCAGGCTCTTCTCCTGCCGGCGGCTGCTCAGGCCGCCTCCTTCCCGGCTGGGGCTGGGCACCGGCTCGGCCAGCAGCGAGGCCATGCTGCAGCCCTCGCCTCGAGTCTCCCCCGGGCTTCCCACGCTTCCTCCTCGGCTGCCTCACTTCCCCTCCTCCGCCGCCGCCACGCGAAGAGAGAGAGAGAGGCTCCCCAGCCCTCGCGGCCCACCGGCTTGGTAGAGCGGAAGTGACGACACTGTTGCTAGGGAGACCGAGTTTTGTGTAGGGAAGGGAAAAGGGGGGAGGGAGTGTTTTGAAGGAGGAGGCCTCTTCCACACAGCTGAATAAAATCCCACACTATCTGCTTTGAACTGGAATATTTGGCAGTGTGGACTCAGATAGCCCAGTTCAAAATTGGGAATGTTTAGCTTGAAGAAGAGAAGGCTGAGAGGAGACCTGTATAAATATATCTGAACATTAGCTTTCTAACTGTGTGAGCTGTTCAGCAGTGGAACTCTCTGCCCCAGAGTGTGGTGGAGGCTCCTTCTTTGGAGGCTTTTAAACAGAGACTGGGTGGCCATCTGTCAGGGGTGCTTTGAATGCAGTTTTCCTGCTTCTTAGCAGGGAATTGGACTGGATGCCCCACGAGGTCTCATCCATCACTATGATTCTCTGCCTCACCAAATTGAAAATCCCACATTATCTATTTTGAACTGGAATATTTGGCAGTGTGGACTCAGATAACCCAGTTCAAAATTGGGAATGTTTAGCCTGAAGAAGGGAAGGCTGACAGGAGACCTCATAGCCATGTATAAATATCTGAACATTAGCTTTCTAACTGTGTGAGGTGTTCAGCAGTGGAACTCTCTGCCTCAGAGTGTGGTGGAGGCTCCTTCTTTGGAGACTGGATGGCCATCTGTCAGGGGTGCTTTGAATGCAGATTTCCTGCTTCTTGGCTGGGGGTTGGACTGGATGGCTCGCGAGGTCTCTTCCAACTCTATGATTCTCTGTCTCACCAAATTGAAAATCCCATTTTAGGTCCCTCTGGCCCCTTCCACACAGCTGAATAAAATCCCACATTATCTACTTGGAATTGGAATATATGGCAGAGTAGATTCTGTGTACGAACCCACATGATCTCTTCGATCATCTGGAGAGGCCCTGCTCGCACTCCCACCTGCATCGCAAGCGCGACTGGCGGGGACAAGAGAGAAGGCCTTCTTTGTGGTGGCCCCTCGACTCTGGAACTCACTTCCCAAGGACATCAGGCATGCCCCATCTCTGGCAGTCTTTAGGAGGAGCTTGAAAACGTAGTTATTCCAGTGTGCCTTCCCAGAATAATGAACCCTGAGCACTATGTCCTCTAAAGCACCTTATACTGATGTAGGATTGTTTGTATGTTCCCACCAACACCCCACCTCCCTATCTT